TCCTTTGTGCTGATATTGATTAGAATTTTTTTACTTACATTCATGGGGCTTAAGACGTCCCAAATATTCTTCAAAGGAATTCTTCACAGCATATTGCATGCTCCAATGTCATTTTTTGATACTACACCTTCTGGAAGAATTTTAAGCCGGGTAACGTTTTCTACACTTTCGGATTGGGTTGTCCATTTTGGTGCCAAGCTGGAAAAAATAAAATCATGTCCATATGTACATTTAGCTACATTAGATTACATGGGGAAAAAACTAGATTATATAAAAGAAATGTTCAAAGTAACTGAACATGTTTCAATTACTGGATTCATTGATATGTTGTGTCATAAAATTTTGCAGGCGTCAAATGATCAGACTAATATTGATGTAGTTGTCCCACTTTTTACAAACTATTTCATTTCCATGTATATCACACTATTTGGGATCATCATCATCATATGTCAAAATGCTTGGCCAACCGTCTTACTATTGATTCCACTTGGCTGGCTGAATTACTGGTTTCGGGTATGTGCATCATTTATGGAGCTTAAAGGTTAAATTGTTTCTGTGTAACTAAGACTTTTAACCATTCTTTGGCAAGAGATAGATAATTAGTGCTAAGACTAAGTTATTCCTCATTTGGGTTGCAGAGGTACTATCTTGCAACATCACGTGAATTGACTCGGCTTGACTCTATTACAAAAGCACCTGTTATCCATCACTTCTCGGAAAGTATATCTGGAATTACGACAATCCGTTGTTTCAGGAAGCAGGAAAGGTTTTGCGAGGAAAACGTTAACCGTGTGAATTCGAACCTGCGTATGGACTTCCACAACTACGGGTGCAATGAATGGTTGGGTTTTCGTTTGGAACTCATGGGGAGCTTCATCCTTTGCATTTCTGCATTGTTTATGATCGTGTTGCCGAGCACTATCATCAAGCCAGGTGTATAATCTACTTAAATCCTTAGTAATGACAAAGTACTAGTTTTTTTTTTGGTTATATTGATATAAAGGCATGACTCCCGATTTATCAGTTGGTGGTATTATTACCTGGGAAAATAAGGTTGTTAATAGGTTAAAACTGAAGACATAGTTTTCATCTTTCTTGACGAAATAGACTCTTAACTGGTCAACTGGATTATTAAACCTTTGAAATATCATAATATCTAGTATAATCAACCTTTTTTTCTTTTCTGTCATTTTAATGGGGTTTCTCAAGTCCATTAGTAAAGGAATTTTCAAAGATCAGGTTACAGAACTAATTTCTTCATATAATTCTCATTTCATTCCTGTTATCATTTGCTGCCTACAAAGTTTATAAATGGATGATACAACTGGAAAATATAATGTCCCTTCCAGTCATCATTCTCCTGTGTCCTTGCTACTGCAATTAGCTTTTTGCAATAGAGATGTTACTGATCTACACTTTGCTGCTCAGAGAACGTGGGGTTATCTCTCTCCTATGGATTGTCCCTCAACAGTATGCTTTTCTGGGCAATATATGTCAGTTGTTCTTTGGAAAATAAAATGGTTTCAGTTGAGAGGATAAAGCAATTTACAAATATACCATCAGAAGCAGACTGGAAGAAAGAAGATTGCCTTCCTTCTCCAGAGTGGCCAAACAAGGGCAATGTTGAGCTCATAGATTTACAGGTAGCTCAATCTGCATTTCTTCAAGTTTGTATGATGAATAGCTGCTTCATTAATATGGTATTCTGTAAGTTTCCAGAGATTCATTTGTATGTATTCTGAACAGGTAAGATATCGTCCAAATACCCCTCTGGTTATCAAAGGAATAACACTCAGCATAAAAGGGGGTGAGAAGATTGGTGTTGTTGGTCGAACTGGGGGTGGAAAATCAACTTTGATCCAGGTTTTCTTTAGGTTGGTGGAGCCTTCAGGAGGAAGAATCATTATTGATGGCATTGACATTAGCACTCTTGGGCTGCATGATCTTAGGTCTCGATTTGGAATCATCCCTCAAGAACCTGTTCTTTTTGAAGGAACCGTGAGAAGCAACATTGATCCAATTGGACAGTATTCTGATGAAGAGATATGGAAGGTAAAAAGAACTATTACTGTTAGTAGTTGAGTTTGGACCTCAAGCTAAATAGATTTCCCCCAGCATGTGCCATAGTTTTAACATTTACTAGTATGCAGCATCTGTCGACTGTGGTTACTTCACTTTTCTAATGTGTGATTTTGTGATTCTGTTCCATACATAGAAACCATGCTTGCCGAGATAGGTTGTAGCGTCTTAGTCCTTCTGTTTTTCTATAGTTAATACTCACGGATCCGTGAACTTATGAACCACAGAGCCTTGAGCGCTGCCAGCTTAAGGAGGTAGTAGCTGCAAAGCCCGATAAGCTGGACTCTTTAGGTACTGTAGCATAATTCTGATCAGTTGCTTCTATTTTGTTCTCAGTTGCTGTTATTAGTTATCAATGCTACCGCTGAGAGAATATGAATTTTCACTGGTTAATGTTTTTAGTTGTTGATAATGGAGAAAATTGGAGTGTCGGGCAGAGACAGCTTCTCTGTTTGGGACGTGTAATGCTAAAACGCAGCAAACTTTTATTTATGGATGAGGCGACTGCCTCAGTTGATTCACAAACAGATGGCGTGATCCAGAAGATCATCAGGGAGGACTTCTCTTCCCGTACAATTATAAGCATTGCCCATAGAATTCCAACAGTTATGGACTGTGATAGAGTTCTTGTAATTGATGCAGGTTTGTGGCTCTCCCACCCCTTAGTTCAGCCATGCTTCATCACATACTGACATTAGCGGACCTAGTACCATTCTGAAGTCGCAAGCATCTTTGTTTTCATTTATTTTTCGTTTCTTATTTCTTGAGTAAATAATTCCTCTGGGAACAAGTAGACTGTCAAAATGTCGCCATTTTGGCCTGCCTTTGGTCTGTTCCCGATTGCATGCAGCAGATTACCAAAATTAATCATGTCCTTTTTTCCTATGATTCTGTTGCGCTCTGACTTTGCCTGGTCTGGGTTTATTCTTCATGATTGCACCTGATAGAGATTTCCTGCTTTCACCAAAGCTCGGTGAAATGATTATTGTTTTTCTTTTTGTGCATTGAACAGGTAAAGCAAAAGAATTTGACAAGCCATCGAGTTTGCTGGAGAAGCCTTCTCTCTTTGGAGCATTGGTTGAGGAGTATGCCAACCGATCTTCTGAACTCTAGCTCTGATCCTAGCATTCTTGGAATGGGCTGAAGATTGATTCTTGTTGGTTGAATTATATTTTCCACAACTTCGGCCCCGTTTGGCAAACCTGAGTTTTTTGGAAATTTATTTAAAATTTTACTGTAGATCACCGTAAAAGTTGTAGAAAAACTTTTGTAAGATGAAATTTTTTTTTTTCTTTTCATTCTCTTTCTTTCTTTTTTCTTTTCTTTCGTCCCTCCCCTGTTCCCTTTCCCAAAATTGCTGAAGCAGCAAAAGAAAACTTTTTTTTTTTGCATTTTTTCTCTCCCCATCTCCTACCCGCCACCCCTCTTCTCCCTCTCCCTCTCCCTCTCCCTCTCCCTCTTCCCCTCTTCCCCTCTTCTTCCTCTTTTGGCTTGCCGCTATATTAAAATCTTGTGAACAGACTACATAAACTTGTTTGTTTGTGGTCTTCACTTTGACAATTATGCATTCGTTTGGTTCAAACCTTGCGAAGGAAAACCAGACAAATCAATTGCAATCCTATATGTAAGCAGATTATTAATCACAATTCACAAGCACTAGAAATCAGTATGTGAAAACAATCGGAGATTGGCCGCGCTCGATGTTGAGTGTTGGCTAAAAATCCAGTCCAATAAGGTGCAGTTGGATCATTATGTAGCTCAGTCAGTGTCGAATGTTTCAGAAATTGCACGCCTCAACTGGATCTCTCGTCTTTTTGGGTTTATCTATTGAAGTAGTGAACTATTGATTGGATTGAGGCTACAGCGAGCGGAGAGGCCTCATCAAAAAATTTCCCCCCTTTTTTAAAGGGGACGCAGAAACTTTTTTCATTTCCTTTTTTTTTTTGGGTGGTCTTCAGGTAAGATTTCAGAAAAAAGCTGTATGTTGATGCCAAAGGTTTAGAACACGTCTCAATTTTACAAATGTGCGATCTGGTCGCAAGAGACCAGATCGGCCAGAGGGGAAGGGGAAGGGTGGTGGGGGAAGGGGAAGAGTGGGGGAGAGGGAGAAAGGAAAAAAAAAAAAAAAAAAGACCAGCACCGGAAGAGGTGATCGGCGCTGGAACCGGCGCCGGAGGTGGCGGTAAGTTGGGGTGGGGGAGGAAGAAGAAGAAAAGGGAAAGGGAATTTCTTTTTTTTTTTTTTTGATGTTTCGAAGTGTGTAGGTAAAAAATTTTGAGATATTTTTTTAGATTACTTAAGTTAAAGTTGATAAAAAACTAGTATAAGACAAACTTGAGTAAAAACTAAAGTTCCAAACAGTAAAAACTCACGATTATAATTCAATAATTTAGGATAAGAAGGAAATTGTAATCAATGAATCATATGATACAACAGAACAGTTCCCTAGGCTTTTCACCACAGTATACATACCACCACATAAATTTTGTTGAAATGTCAGAAGAAGCTGGAAGTTAACCGTCATTCCTTTCCTTAATTTATATGACCAAAAAGAGTTTTGAGGAAAATCGGCAACAAGGGCTGATGCACGCGTATGAGAGTATGCAATAATAAACACAGGTGCTACAGCAGGTGAGCTAATACAGTTTTAAACTACTTATTTTTCTTGAACTATATGATAGTTCATTTTCATCCAACTGTTACAATCTTTAAACACAGCCGTGTGCCCACAACATTGCAAGGTGAATTACAACCATTTTAATTTTGATGGTCAACCAATTGATCTGATAACCGTCCAGAGTAATAAATTTGGAGGTTTCGTTGAATGTTGTAAAAATTCCTTCTTTAGCTCCATGGAGCATGGTGTCCGAAAATTTTCAACCCTAGATGGATTGCTCAAACCAAAAAATTATTCGCCAAGGGAAAGAATAAACAGACCTGATGTCAAGTTCATGTGGAGATAAACATTTTGTTTGGCCTAAAATTGTGAGAAGTTTGATAGTTCTTAAGATTCAGTTGGAATGTACAAAACCAGTCTTCTGATGGCCAGACAAGGATATGCAAATATATAAGACTTTCTGGTAGACTTGAATAATCCATTGAGCAGGACACAAATTCGTTCACTTGATGTTAAATCTATGGAACAGATGAAAAAGTGTTTAGTGAAACATTTTCAATAGATTCCAGCCTGTTGACTACATGACCAAAAGCAGGACAGATTGGTAGGGAAGAACTTAAAAGTGAAGACTTCTAAGTATTTACCTCTCTGCAAAGGGGGCACTTTTCCTTGGGACTAGCTGCCTTTAATCCATCCACTATGGTCACTGATCCTGCCTTGCAACCACACATGTAGCAGAATATATGACCGCAAGTCAAAGACACTGGATCAAAAACTGTATCCTGTTGGAGAAGAGCAGCTAATAAAAAGCTCAACATTGTGAAAAGAGTAGCTAATCTGATATGATGAATTTTACAGTATTGATAAGACTTAAGGTAGAGTTTCTTCATAAGAATTATCAGCAAGAATCAAATATCAATAAGAAAAAGCATAAGATAGTTACTCAGGTTAATGAAATAGCTGGCACGCTTACATGAGATAATAAAGAAACTAACCAAGCATATCGAACAAGTCAAGTCCAGTTCAAGCTTGACTGAATCAAAGAGCTCACAAGAAAGAGAAGGCTTTTCATCTTTAAATATGAGGGAACAGCCGTTGAACAATGCAGGAAGCATTCCTTGTTTTGGCCTTTGTCTCTTGCGAATTTGTGTGAAAGGCCATCAGCTCACATAGCCATGGTGATTGGAGAATCTCAAGGTTCCTACTGTGCGCTTGAGACTTAAATGCTTGGCCTTGCTTGGAGTAGTGTATCTGTAGAAAAAATCAACAACTGGTAAGGCAATAATTTACACAAATCAAATCTCCCAACTTAAACAAATCAAAATACAAAATTAAATTATAAATAATTCGGAATAGTCAATCTAAAACTAACTACAAATCAATCTACAAAATCATTACTAAATTATTAATTTGATAAAATAATGTATTTAGAAATATTTATATTTTATAATTATTAATATATTATTCGAGTCAGGATCAGAATCCTATATTTCGTATGCGATCTGTTTTTTTTTTTTTTATTTGTTAAAGTAAACGGACACGAGTCCGGATTCGAGTATCGAAATTATTTTTCAATCCAAATTCGAAAAAAATTATCGAATCCGGATTGGATCCAAGTTGGGTTATAAATAAATAAATAAAAAGGATGATCGAAATTTTGACGGTGCTAAAATAGGCTTCTCAAACGTAGATTGATCCAAGCTGGGCTTTGCGAGCTGGCCAATTCGCATTGAGGTTGGAGGTGCATTTTTATTTTTCCCTTTTTTTGACCGAGATTACGAGAATTGAAGAGCTAAATATATTTACTTTGAGGATCAATCACAGAGCGTTTGGTAGTGGAATCGAGAATTTGAGGCAACATGAGAGAGTTAATAATAGACGCTTGAAATGAGAAAGGATGGATGGGATGGTTGCACATTTTTCAAGATCAAAAGATGAACAGGAATAAGAGCAATTCAACAAAAATATCATCATCTCATTTTATAGACGCCTTTGATATTTTGTCATGTAGCTGGCTTTGATATTGCTTACAATCATCGAGGGGATTACGAAGTGAAACGCCAACACGCATAGGGTTTTAAGGTATTTTACTCTTAAATGTTGGTTTTATTCAGAATTACTAATTGGGTAGGAGTGAAGTATCTCCATCTCCAACTCTCTCATATTCCATTGCAAGGTATGCGTATTTTTTCTCGTACAATTTCTTGAACATTTGAAATTATGTTTGTTTGCCCACCTAATTTTTTTGTGAAAAATTATTTTTCTTGCAATATAGATATATTTTTTTAATGATCTTTTTATATTTCAACCATCTTTCACATACATCATATTACAAAAAAACTGTTATAATATTTTTTTTGGATAAAATTTTCAAATAATCTTCTATTCAAAGACGCTTAATCCTCAAATTTTAAGGTACAAATTGATCCATAAAGTTAAAAAAAAACAAAGCTTTTTAAAATTTTTCTAAATGCTCAAATACACAAAAGTTTTTTCACAAAATTTTTTAAAGAAATACACCTTCCAAATGACCCCAAAATTTGGGTCAAGTTTGCGTCTCATCCAACACAAGATTCATGTGCGGAAAACTGAAAAGTAAACAACGTACGTCTTGGAAAATCAATCACCAGATTCGTATCTATAAAAAGTAAACAAAGCAGGTTTTGGAAATTTGATCAAGAGATGCATTTGGTAGGGATTTGGGTCACATCAGGACATCTTCTCATTAACAGCAACAAAATTACTGGAGAGTGAAAATGGATGCTGAATTAGTGTACCTGTGTCTACTGTCTCCTATGTAAAACCGCTCGTTTGAGATAATCAACAGTTGGTATATAATTACTTTAATTTGAAGTTAAACCGATACTCAAATATAGTATTAATTGATACGCAGCACAATATATCTCAGGTTTACCCTAATTACCATGTAACAATGTTACATTTTGACCAAAAAAAAAAAAAAAACTATGTGACAATGTTTGATGCACCGCGTACAAGAGTGACAATGGGTCGGGTTCGGATGAGAATTGAAATTTTTGGATCCAACCCCGTTTTTTATGTGGTAGACCTATAATCGATTCGTATGTTCGACGGGTCTTAACTTTAGAGGTTTAGAATCGAATCCGCCGAGTCTCAAATTGGATTTGAGTCTACTCGAAAAGAAAAGATCCAAAATAAATAAAAAATCAATCACAAATCAAATCTCCCAACTTAAACAAATCAAATTACAAAATTAAATTACAAATAATAACTCTCAATAGTCAATTTAAAACTAACCACAAATCAATCTACACAATCATTACTAAATTATTAATTTGGTAAAAGAATGTATTTAGAAATATTTATATTTTATAATTATTAATATATTGTTCGAGTTCGGGTCAGAATCCTATATTCCGTATTTGATCTGTTTTTTTGTTAAAGTAAACGGGTACGAGTCCGGATCCGAGTATCGAAATTATTTTTCAATATAAATCCAAAATAAATTATCGAGTCCGAATTGGATCCGGAACTAAACCCGACCCATTGACACCCCTAACCAAGTGGTACCTGCCAACACACGTTGTACTCTCTACAAGTATTATAAAACCCTCTTCATGGTTGGATGTTGAAAAATCCATGAAAGCGTTTAAAAATCAACGATGTGATAATAATCATAAAAATTTCTTTGCTTTTTGTTTCAGTAATATATGGGGTGGTGCCAATGGGAGAGTCGTAGTTGGTGAAGAAGACCACAAAAGTTAGAAAAAAGCAGTCAATTGATTCCTGGATTCTACTACAGCCGGTAACACTGACGAAAGGAAAGTAATGGACAGCAGAAAACGAAAGTAGAAAAGTAAAAGCCGGACATTAAACGAAAAGGAGCAAACGTCTGCGCTGTTTGGAGCCTTCGTGCATGGGCTGGGCAGTAGCATTCGGTGACCCCCGCGAGTCCTCGTTTTGCACTCATAGGAATTATGATCAAGCCCACATCCTACCGTAAGATACTACCACAAATTCAACAAGATCATAACAATGTAGCAGTAGTAGTCTTACTGTTGAGTCTTTCTTACACGGAAATTTCGCATCATAATAGTAGTACTATCTACCCTGTATGTTCTTGAGTTCTTTTTTTTTGTAGTGCCCTTTTTAAATTGTTTCCGAATGGCAAATTGTGTAGTATTTGGGAAGAGTTTCTCTCGGCAATGGTAAGTTACAATTTTTAAAACAATTTATGGTGGTAGACTTTTCATTGAATAGTTGTGATAGAAAATAAGGCCTTGTTTGGACAGCAATTTTTCAAATGCTACATTTTTCTGAACATATTTCTCAATCATTTTTTTATCTCACATATATCAAATCGCTATAGTAATTTTTTTACAAAAAATCTAGAAAAATGCAAGCCAAACAAGGCCTAAAACTTGGAGAGGACACTTGCAATGCATTCTCGGATGTGCATAGCGGGGGATGCAGAGAGGGAAATTTGTCAAATTGGTCCCTAACATTTACACAAAAAATTTTTTTAGTCCCTAACATTTAAAAGCAACTGGAATAGTTATTAACATATAAATTATTATCCATTTCGGTCCTAATACTCGTATTTTCTCATTTTTTCGACTAAAAATAGCACGCCTCTCTCACGTGGGCATGTTTTGCCCTTGAAAATATGCCCATGTGAGAGAGACGTACTATTTTTAGTTGGAGAAATGAACAAATACGAGCATTAGAACCAAAATGGATCATAATTTATATGTTAAGGACTATTTTTGCTGATTTTAAATGTTAGTAATTAAAAAAAAATTTATGTAAATATTAGGGACCGGTTTGACAAATTTTCCTGGAGAGAATTCAGGGCTATTTATTCATCATAGCAATTTTTATTATTTTAAATGGTGTTTGGATTACCATTTTTTGTTACATTTTTTTTTATATTTTGCATGAACATTCTATAAAATCTCTAAAAAAAAAGAAGTAATATTAGCATTAAAGTGTGGGGTTCGGTGCCACGGCCTAAAGCTAACGACCTAAGGTCATCTTGTGGGCATGGCTTTGCGGGTCAAAGATTGCAATCCACTTAAGAAATGACGTGAGCTATGACGACTACGCTTTCAGCACAACACGAGGAACGGGCGACGTCGCATGGAAATTGGAATTGATTGATCGATGCAGTTTGTCTTTGTCCTCCGCCTGTCTCTATACTTTTTATTTTATTACTTTTCGGGAACAAGAAGAAATCAGCAGCGGCAGTACTGGCGCCCTGCCCCCGGCCACACACGCTCTTCGTCGGAGAGCCATACAACGGACGGGACATGAATCCACCTTCGTCTGAGTGCTGACAAACAACATCCAACCTTTTGTGCATAAATCTTTTTGATCTTTTCTGCTTCTGTGATAGTAAAATTTATTAACGAGCAAAGCAAAAACTCGATGCGACGGTTCCTTCTCTGCCTGGTTTGGAAGCTTTTGCATTTATTGGAGTCCTCCCAAAGAGGAAACCAGTTCGTTCACGTTAGTGCGACTACTATTATACTACATCTGTTTCCATACATTTTCTTGCAGAAGTAAGCATGTTTTTACAAATAAATCTAATTTCTACAGTAATTTTAAAAGCCGGCAACGTCCTGTGAGGGACTTATCTACCCAAACACCCAACCCCCCAATCTGATGTGGGATAGAAAATCCCACAGGATACCCTGCTGTTAAGAAGTAACTGCCCCCAAACCCCTGCTACTATTATACTACATCTACGTCGGCAGGAATTGAAGTTTTGCCATCTACTTCTGATGGCACAGTACATTAATGAATGCAAGCTATTTTAGTTTTACCCCCCGCCCCACCAATATTCGATAAATGTCCATCTAGTCCTCCTGACCAAAAGCTTTACAATGCACGCTTGCGGTCTCTGAATTTTATAGCTTCACCTGTTTTTTCTCTCTGTCTTTTTCGTTTGAAGGATGTAACTACAGGTTCTAGGTGGTGCAAAGAAGCATTTCTGAAGATGTTCGTTTTCTTTAAGAAAAATGAAAATTATAATTAATCTTCCATTTTATCTTCCCTCTATTTACCGAAACAAGTTCTTTGTATAAAGTAGCACTACTTTTTTATTAAACTAGAAAACCATGCACGCAAAATTACGGCTTTCATTCGGTGCCGCCACTTCTTCCGGAAGCTGTTTTGCCTACCAAAAAAGAAATAGAGGAAGAATATTCCACTTCTTCGTTACGTACTAGACTAGTACTACCAGTATTTACAGATTGCTATCTTCATGGCCACTTATTCAAACAAAAACTTTGACCAATAGGTGCAACAAATTTGACCTATAATTATATAAACTTCTGCACCAAGTTAATTGCGTTTTTCTCACGGATGTGACCAGGCAATTCCAATGGTCAAATACCGCTTTAAGATCACTCATTTGTTGGATAGAGTACTGTATTATTCCAAATAATTATTTGAAATAATTACTGTAGCATTTTTTGTAATGTAACGTAGACGTAAGATAAAAAAAATAAATTAAAAAATATGTTTATAGTACAAGCGAAAATTTTTTTAAAAAAAAAATTGGCTATCCAAACATAGGCGAGGACGGCCACTCATATTTCGATGCAATTTGCTCCATCACGTGCCAGGAAATTTACAAGCGATTCTATTGTACTTTATGGGGATTTCACATCTTCAACTTAAATTCACAATTAGATGGTGGAACAAGTTTTTTTAAACCCTTAAATTGTGTTAGTTTTAATTATTTCAAATTCGAATCGTTATTATTACTAATAAATAAAAATTATGGGAATAGTTCCTAAAAGGACTATAGAATTTTCCTCTATTTTAAATTTAGAACTTTAGTAATATGCATTTTCCGAGTTTTTCTGAACAGCTTAAAATCGATTGTTAATGTTAAGTTTTGATGCATGTCTTTTACAATATGATTCTTGCTTGCACAAATTGAAAGTACTATAGTAATTTTTCACAAAATAATCATACAAAAAAATTATTTAGCTAAATAGCTGGATTACTTTTTTTCTTTTTGGTTTTCTAAACTAAGCTATTGGATTGCATAGGACTATAATCGAAGTGATAAGGTTGTAGTGGGCATCGATTTGAACACCAGCGATGTTCAAGCATTTTGGATGGTATTCATGCTACCATTTCTAATGTTTATTTTTATTTTTTAAGAATTCGCTCTTTTCTTTTCTTTTCTTTCTTTCTTCTTTCTTTTTTTTTTTTTTTTTAGTTGAGAGACCTTGTATGCACGGATCTCTTATTTTCAATATTTCCTAGTCTACCGTCCAACCCAACTCTTCTCCAATACAATAATATTTAGTTTGATTATATCTTAGTATGTGTCCTATCATTTTTTGCTAGTTTTAATATTAAAAAAACTGTTCAAAAACCTTTCACATATTTCACTAAATGAATTTTTTTGGCCTTACTTTTAAAATATTAATTTTACGTTCTTTATAAATTCAAGTTAACAGTTTTTTGGTCACAAACTAAAATTTTAACCCATTTCTTAATCTGAAAATCACTACATGACCATATGTAATTATATTTTATGTACAAAAATGGTCAGATTCCACTTTTTTAGTGGAAAATGAATTTTTGTCACTCAAAAAGTGAAAGCTGAACTTTTTGTGTATAAAAAGTGATTATGTGCAGGTCATATGGTGATTTTAGGTTAAAAGGTGATTGAAAATAGAAGTTAGGACCAAATTCTGTAAACTTAAATTTATAAGGGATGTAAAATTAATATTTAAAAAAAATAACAAAAAAATTTACTTGACAAAATATGATGGGCGTTTTAAACTATTTTTCCAACGCTCATTATGATACACTTAACGGACTTATCACACAATTCAAGCGGCCAAATAAGCATCTAATTGTACATATTTTTTTACACCCAGTATTCGTTTAGTTCATACATAAAGGCTCTACTAATAACATTTTTTCTCCATGTTTATTGTGAGGGAAATGTTGTCATCATTCTTCTATACAGGTTATATAACGACAAAGGCTCTTGACTTTTTTGACGATGTAAATTAGATAAAAGTTCCTTTATTCTTCATTACATTCGTAGTCACTCTCCTTTTATCAACTTATAAATTAAAGTAAAATATAAGAGGATAGCCAATAACAATTTCTTACTCTATCCATCACACTTTGATGGTGTTGATATTTTTTTTCACACAGTTAAACAAAAATTAGTTGATTTTATTGAAATTGCAAATCTGGCTTATTATTTTTCTAAAATATCCTTACATTAACATTAATTATTTCAAATATTAAAATTTATAATCTGACTAATCATTACACCTTTACATTAATTATAACAATAGCACTAAGGGAAAGTTGTACCATTCAAGGTGTGAATCAAATCAATTATTGAATAAGATAGATTATATTTACTAATAATAAATTACTTAAATAAAGACATTTTAGAAAAGTTAAAAATTAACTATATTTTTTAATTGAAAAGTAACCTATAATTTAGCATGGATAATAAAATAAAATAAAATAATTTAGCATGGGGGTGATGGAGTAATCTAATTTCGAATATTCTCTTTTACTTTCGAGAAAAATAAAATAAAATAACTATTGAGCATGCCCTCTTAAAATCAATGATAACCATTGATCCGTTAGCATCTATGGGTGTGTTTGGATTGCATGTTTTTAGATTTTTTTTTTATAGAAAAATTATTGTACTAATTTGATATATGTGAGATAAAAATATGATTAAAAAATGAGTTCATTGAGAATGTAGCAAAAAATTTTTTTTTTTTTGAAATCTGCAATCCAAGCAAAATATGAAATAATGATTGGTCAACTTTGAGTTCTTTCCTATTTAAGGACATATAGCGATTGGCAATAGAAATAGTCCCTACGAAGTTTCTTGGACTTGGGATACCAAGAACCATGGAGATCGAGATGGTTGTAGTTAGAGGTGTAAAAATGGGTGACTTGGGCGGGTTTGGGTTGGGTAAAATGGGTAATGGGTATAAGTGAGTCAACTCATTTATACCCATCTAATTACCCATTTAATTAGATGGGTATAAATGGGTAAGTCAAAAAATGAATTGGGTAATCCAATTACCCATTTATAACCCATTTATTTTAATTTTTTGTAAATTCATTTAAATTCATTTTTGCAAACTAAGTTATCAATTTATACCACTATTTGTACCCATCATTAGTTTTAAATATTTATTTATAATGTTCAATAAACTTAATTACCAATTTTTTTTTCATTTATACTCTATGTCACAAAATTACCTATTATTTAATAATTGAATAATAAGAATATAAAAATTTGAACTAAATACTATAAAAATTAATATAAAAACTTAATCCAAAAATTTTGAACCCCTAACATTTTTTTCATATATAAATTTAAAATTTCATTTTAGAAAGATAAGAAAATAGGTTAAAATTTACCATAAATTAGTAATGCTGAAAAATGAGTAAGTTAACAAACTAAGAGAAAAATAAAATAATAAGATAAAACCAATAAATAATAATAATAATAATAATAATAATAAAACAAAAGTAGTTAACATCATGACAAAATGAAAAATTTGAAAAAAAAATTGGTGGGGGAAAAGAAGAGACTTGGGGGAAGAGAATTATAAATAAGTTAATTGGGTTTGATGGGTTACCCAATAATACCCATTTAATAAATGGGTATTATTGGGTAACCCATTTATACCCATATACAAAAATTTAAGATACTCATACCCATCTATTCATGGACTGGTATGGGTAAATTTAATTAACTGGGTTGATTTGTCACCTCTAGTTGTAGCTAATAAATGCAAGAGCTACAAGAAGATCATCGAAATGATTAAAAGCCTATTATTGGAAATAACGAAGAAGTCAAATTTTTGAATATTGGTTGATCAGAGTTTCTATTAAATAACCTCACCCCTTTAGGTGAGGGTTCAAACCTCACATGCAGCGAAAAAATTTTAAGGGTTGTGCCATAATAATTTTTTGATCTAATTGAATTTGTATACTCATTAGCCCCTACCATAGCCTCTTTGGACTCCCCCTCCCCCCTTAGAGTAGGTTATAAAAATGTATCGTAACTGACAAAAAAAAAAAAAGAGTTTCTATTAAATAACCAATTAAGAAAAACCTTTGCCTAATACCAAAATGACGATGACCATTGCTTCCACAGCATTTGATATCAGCATGTGGCACTTGTAGTAGCAGTGGTGACAATAATGGTATTGTCGTTGATCCATATTCCACAAAACCGTAATTGACACGATTAACGTAGTAGAATAATTTGTCCTCCAATTTTTTACTACTGGTTTTTTTTTTTTTGTCGTCTAGCTGACTTCTCCATGTCCGTGGCGGCTGTTTTGGTATTTAAAGCCTAAGCCGGGCAATATTCAGCCTCTTCGCTCTCTTGGACAGCGATTCCAGAAGCCCGGGAACCACCGGTGTCATTCAAATCGCTGTCTGGAACAAAAAAGAGTCCGGAGGTCTGTCCTGAAGGGGCCTAAATCCCCGTATACTTTTACACCAGAGGGAGAGAAGGAGAGGAAACTCAGTGAGAGGCTTCTCCAGCATCCTAGGATCAATATAGGTATCTTTATTTTATTCTTATCACGTACCATCTCCTCGCTGTAGGTGCTTGCATGATGATTTGGTCTTGAACTTGGTTTGTACGTTAATTTGGTCACTTTGAGCCTGCGGTACAAGACAAAGTTGGTCTCTTTTTCCTATTCCAGAGTTCCACCCTCAAACATCCTAAAGTTTTACTTTTATTTTTATTTTTTTAAAATTTGATTTTTGCTACTGAGTAGTGAGTAGGAGTGCTTTTTACCTGCTATTTCATTTTTCAGCCGGCGACGTTTCCTGTGTAAGTCTGGAGCACCTGGAAACTAATCCTTGCGCTCTTTGTTGTTCCTTCTCATCTCGTCTGCTAAAAATTTTTGTCTTTTATTTTGTTTTTGTGAAGTCACTATTCAAGATGGTACTAACAAAGTCATATAATGATGATATTGTTTAGGTTAGATGTTTTGAGGCCTAAAGGCTGCTGTTAAAATCTCAATTCTGATCATGTTTTGGTTTGAGAAATGTTTAGCTGGATCATTCCTTTCTAACTTCTTCTTTTTGAGTTTTTTCCGTTTCTTTTTCTTCTGGGTCTGCCCAAAATGCTTTCAAAGTACTGCGCATCATCCCAGATTCTAAAATGGAATTAGTAATTGTAGTACCGAAACTGCAGCCTCCTTTACTTTGAAAAGAGGAAGAGAGGGGGGGGGGGCGGCCAATTCTGATTTCATTTCTGCCTTTTGTAATAATTTATAATAATAACCTTTTGGATTCTTATTCTTTTAGCTGAGTTCTCCAAGTATTGTTTTAACATGCTCATCTTGTTTCCTTCTCCAGGAGAATGAAAGGATGAATTCTTTGTGAGATAAAATCATTGTATGGCTATGCTGTATGTCGGTTTGGCAGAGGTCACAGCAAAGATGTCTTCACCTATTTGGATCACATCGCTTTCTTGTTCCGCTTCTGTGGCACAATCCTCAGAGGATTCCACAGTTTCAGCCTTTGTTCAATGGCTAAGGTTCCTTTTCCTGTCTCCCTGTCCTCAGAGAGCTCTGTCATCTTCCATTGCCATTCTGCTGTGGATAGCTTTCCTTGTTTTTGCAATACAAAAACTATGGTCTAGATTTAGTACCAAACATGAATTGAGTTCTAACCTCAGCAAGCCTCTCATTGAGAGCAGCACACCACCTCTTAGAGCTAACCTTTGGTATAAGTTGACTCTGATTGCGACCGTTGTTTTAGCCTTATCTTCCTTAATGTTGTGCATTCTGGCATTCAATGGAGGTAACCAGGGCTCATGGAGGGTTGTCGACGGACTATTTTGGTTGCTTCAGGCATTAACCAATGTAGTGATCACAGTACTAATTCTCCATGAGAAGAGGTTCAAAGCTGTTACTCATCCATTATCTCTTCGGGTTTACTGGATTGCAATCTTCATTATCCAAGTTTTGTTCGTCACTTCGGCGCTTATCCGCATAATATCTGCCCGTGAAACTGATTCAGTCTTGAGACTAGATGACATTGTTTCAATAACTGTATTTCCTTTCTTGATTATTCTTCTGATTGTTGCCCTCAAGGGGTCTACCGGTATCCTAGTAATTAGATGTTCTGAATCAATAATAAATGGAGAGACCACATTATATGAACCACTTCAGGATAAATCCTCCAATGTGAGTGGGTTTGCTACAGCATCTATTGTATCAAAAGTTTTTTGGCTCTGGGTTAATTCTCTTTTGGTAAGAGGCTATAAATCCCCTCTAAAGCTTGATGATGTCCCAATTCTCTCACCACAGCATAGAGCTGAGCGCATGTCAGAGCTGTTTCAACAGAAGTGGCCTAAACCTGAAGAAAAATCAAAGCACCCTGTGAGAACTACATTGTTTCGCTGCTTCTGGAAGGAAGTTACCTTCATTGCCTTCCTTGCCATTGTGAGGCTTTGCGTCATGTATGTGGGGCCTACACTGATCGATCGGTTTGTTGATTATACATCTGGGAAGAGGACCTCAATTTATGAAGGATACTACCTTGTAGTTGTTCTCTTGATATCCAAGTTTGTGGAAGTTCTGAGCTCACACCAGTTCAATTTTAACTCCCAGAAACTTGGGATGATGATACGCTCCACACTCATTACTTCATTGTACAAAAAGGGTTTAAGACTTTCATGCTCAGCAAGACAAGCTCATGGTGTTGGACAGATTGTAAACTACATGGCCGTGGATGCGCAACAGCTTTCTGATATGATGCTACAACTGCATGCCTTATGGTTGATGCCATTGCAAGTTACCGTTGCCTTAAGTATCCTCTATACTTACCTAGGCATTTCGACCATTGTAGCGTTACTTGGACTTGTATCCATTATGGTGTTTGTGGTGTTTGGGACTCGAAGGAATAACCGGTTCCAGTTCAATATCATGAAAGATAGGGACTCCAGAATGAAAGCAACAAATGAGATGCTTAACTACATGAGGGTAATCAAATTTCAGGCTTGGGAAGAACATTTCAACAAAAGAATTCAATCTTTCCGTGAATCAGAGTTTGCATGGCTAACCAAATTCTTGTACTCGTTTTGTGCAAATATTATTGTGCTCTGGAGCACACCAGTATTTGTAGCTACATTGACATTTGGAAGTGCGATCCTGCTGGGGGTTCCACTTGATGCAGGAACAGTCTTCACTGCTATCTCACTCTTTAAAATGTTGCAAGAACCTATTAGGACCTTTCCACAGTCTATGATTTCACTCTCACAGGCAATGATATCACTGGATAGGTTGGATAGATACATGATGAGTAAGGAACTGATGGATGATTCAGTGGAGAGGGTAGAAGGTTGTGGAAGTGAGATTGCTGTGGAGGTGGAAGATGGAGCTTTTAATTGGGATGAAGAAAGCAGGAAAGAAGTAGTAAAGGATTTGAATTTTATGATCAGCAAAGGCGAGCTTGCAGCGATTGTTGGGACTGTAGGATCAGGGAAGTCTTCACTTCTGGCATCAATTCTTGGCGAGATGCATAAAATATCAGGAAAGGTACATATTAAATATTTTTCAGGGCCTTATCCCTATATCAAATTGATTACTTCACATTTGTCACTGGAAAAGTACTCTTTTTATTTTTTATTTTTTATTGTGCCTTGTGTATTTATTTGTCATTGAAGTATTGCAACTTTCTGTTCATTGTATGGTTAGTAATCCGATTGTTGCCTTACACGTAATTTGTCCAAGTAATAGACTATTCAGGGATTTCACACATCCTCTTCTTCTCCGCGTCACAGATTCTCATTTTGCTGATACGATTTAAATGTCGTATTGTGTTATTCAGCAGACAGCATGAGCACAAAGAGTTTATCTTTTGGTATACATGAGCACAGTGATTTGTTTTCTCTGGATGTCTTGCTTGTGCATCAGAGCTTGGTAACTGGAAGATTTTGCCTTTTGCTACTTGTGGCCGACAGACTTAAGTTTGCCCAGTTGTTGGCTCAAGTAATTGGAAACATTATGTCTATTTTTGAAAATCACATATATTGTAATTTTTGTCTGTGAAAAATTGGTTCAATTTCAACTTCCAAAGATGTAGGTCCAAATGATTCAACCATCAAACTCTAACCAGATTACTGCTGAAACATCAACCAAATCTTCACATAAACTTTTTGGGTTGGGGTGTGTATTTGTCCTCGTTATTTGAGTCTTTGGGGATTATGATTTATGTATTGAATGATGGGCTATTTGTCATTTTCCAAACCCTAAAGTTCTTATCCTTGGGAACACCTTTTAGTATCATTGGTGAACTACTTCTTAATAGGGGCAGCCCATTATATTCTTCTTTGTTGGCCACAAGTTGGTTGTAAGGAAAACCTTCCTGAGTGTCATGCAGGAAAGCTCCTTATTTTATAATGCTAACACATTTCATTACAAGCTTACCAACTATTTGTTGCTGCAGCTCAGGGTTTGTGGTACCACAGCTTTTGTTGCACAAACCTCATGGATTCAGAATGGGACAATTCAAGAAAATATCCTTTTTGGTCTGTCAATGAACCAAGAGAGATATAAGGAAGTTCTTAGGGTTTGTTGTTTGGAGAAGGACTTGGATATGATGGAGTTTGGAGATCAGACTGAAATTGGAGAGCGTGGCATCAATCTAAGTGGTGGGCAAAAGCAGCGAATTCAACTTGCCAGGGCTGTTTACCAAGATTGTGATATCTATCTACTTGATGATGTGTTTAGTGCAGTTGATGCTCAAACTGGTTCTGAAATATTCAAGGTGATAAGAGGTTTGAAATGATTTTCAAAATGGTTGTGATATCTATATCTTGAAAGTATTTAATGCTGTTTTAAGATGTCCTATTTCTCCAATTATTTGCCAAATTAGATGTGACCTGATGTTTGTAGTAGCTATAGTCACTGATATAATTTTCTCAGTTTGGTCCACTTCTTCTCCATTTTCTTGTTATTACTGTTAAATGAGAACCAGAACAGAAGCCTGCTACTTGCGAATGCCCATTTGTTAATGATGTATGATGCTTTTGTTGAAATTTTATGTTGATCCCTTGGCTTCATTCCTTGTAGGCTCCAATTAACATGATTATTAAGCTTTGAGTGACATGCTTGTTAGTTGATACATATTGTTCTGCATTGGCATTGTGATTCGTCTTTTTAGTTTCAATTGAAGTTGTGATATTCCAGTAGCCCTTGTTGTTAGTTTGTCAGTTATTAAATGCTGTTTAACACTTTCCAGTCTCTCTTGCAGGAATGTGTTAGAGGAACCCTTAGAGAGAAGACCATTTTGCTTGTTACACACCAAGTTGACTTCTTACACAATGTTGATCTGATCCTAGTATGTCCTATGCTCATTTATTCTCCTCCTTTCCTAGGTTGTACATGTGTATATGTGGATTCTGGCATCATAGACTTGACCTCTTAATATTGAAACCAGGTTATGCGAGATGGGATGATTGCTGAATCCGGAAATTACGATGATCTACTTGAATCTGGGAAGGATTTCAAATCTTTGGTGGCTGCGCATGAGTCATCTATGGAACTTGTTGAGGCAGAAAGCTCCAAGCGCAGGAAAACTTCAGTTGATCAACCAACATCTCCTCAAGCATCTTTTAGTCCTAGACAAGAAAACGATGACATGAAATCTCAAGAACAGACCCAATCTGATCGGGGAACTTCTAAACTTATCAAGGAAGAGGAGAGAGAAACTGGGAAAGTCAGCTTACATGTTTATAAACTATACTGCACTGAATCTTTAGGGTGGTGGGGTGTGATTGCAGTGTTACTGATTTCTGTGTTGTGGCAAGGGTCATTAATGGCGGGTGACTACTGGTTGGCTTATGAAACATCAGGAAAGCGTGCTATGTCATTCAATCCTTCTGTTTTTATTGGGATATATGCTATTATAGCAGCTGGTTCCTTTGTGCTGATATTGATGAGAATTTTTTTACTTACATTCATGGGGCTTAAGACGTCCCAAATATTCTTCAAAGGAATTCTTCACGGCATATTGCACGCTCCAATGTCATTTTTTGATACTACACCTTCTGGAAGAATTTTAAGCCGGGTAACGTTTTCTGCACTTTCGGGTTGGGTTGTCCATTTTGGTGCCAAGCTGGAAAAAATAAAATCATGTCCATATGTACATTTAGCTACATTAGATTGCATGGGGAAAAAACTAGATTATATAAAAGAAATGTTCAAAGTAACTGAACATGTTTCAATTACTGGATTCATTGATATGTTGTTTCATAAAATTTTGCAGGCGTCAAATGATCAGACTAATATTGATGTATTTGTCCCACTTTTTACCAACTTTTTCATTTCCATGTACATCACACTATTTGGGATCATCATCATCACATGTCAAAATGCTTGGCCAACCGTCTTACTATTGATTCCACTTGGCTGGCTGAATTACTGGTTTCGGGTATGTGCATCATTTTTGGAGCTTAAAGGTTAAATTGTTTCAGTGTAACTAAGACTTTAAACCATTCTTTGGCAAGAGATAGATAATTAGTGCTAAGACTAAGTTATTCCTCATTTGGGTTGCAGGGGTACTATCTTGCAACATCACGTGAATTGACTCGGCTTGACTCTATTACAAAAGCACCAGTTATCCATCACTTCTCGGAAAGTATATCTGGAATTACGACAATCCGTTGTTTCAGGAAGCAGGAAAGGTTTTGCCAGGAAAACGTTAACCGTGTGAATTCGAACCTGCGTATGGACTTCCACAACTATGGGTGCAATGAATGGTTGGGTTTTCGTTTGGAACTCATGGGGAGCTTCATCCTTTGCATTTCTGCATTGTTTATGATCGTGTTGCCGAGCACTATCATCAAGCCAGGTGTATAATCTACTTAAATCCTTATTAATGACAAAGTACTAGTTTTTTTGGTTATATTGATATAAAGGCATGACTCCCGATTTATCAGTTCGTGGTATTATTACCTGGGAAAATAAGGTTGTTAATAGGTTAAAACTGAAGACATAGTTTTCATCTTTCTTGACGAAATAGACTCATAACTGGTCAACTGGATTATTAAACCTTTGAAATATCATAATATCTAGTATAATCAACCTCTTTTTCTTTTCTGTCATTTTAATGGGATTTCTCAAGTTCATTAGTAAAGGAATTTTCAAAGATCAGGTTACAGAATTAATTTCTTCATATAATTCTCAGTTGATTCCTGTTATCATTTGCTGCCTACAAAGTTTATAAATGGATGATACAACTGGAAAATATAATGTCCCTTCCAGTCATCATTCTCCTCTGTCCTTGCTACTGCAATTAGCTTTTGCAATAGAGATGTTACTGATCTACACTTTGCTGCTCAGAGAACGTGGGGTTATCTCTCTCTTATGGATTGTCCCTCAACAGTGTGCTTTTCTGGGCAATATATGTCAGTTGTGCTTTGGAAAATAAAATGGTTTCAGTTGAGAGGATAAAGCAATTTACAAATATACCATCAGAAGCAGACTGGAAGAAAGAAGATTGCCTTCCTTCTCCAGAGTGGCCAAACAAGGGCAATGTTGAGCTCATGGACTTACAGGTAGCTCAATCTGCATTTCTTCAAGTTTTTATGATGAATAGCTGCTTCATTAATATGGTATTCTGTAAGTTTCCAGAGATTCATTTGTATGTATTCTGAACAGGTAAGATATCGTACAAATACCCCTCTGGTTATCAAAGGAATAACACTCAGCATAAAAGGGGGTGAGAAGATTGGTGTTGTTGGTCGAACTGGGGGTGGAAAATCAACTTTGATCCAGGTTTTCTTTAGGTTGGTGGAGCCTTCAGGAGGAAGAATCATTATTGATGGCATTGACATTAGCACTCTTGGGCTGCATGATCTTAGGTCTCGATTTGGAATCATCCCTCAAGAACCTGTTCTTTTTGAAGGAACTGTGAGAAGCAACATTGATCCAATTGGACAGTATTCTGATGAAGAGATATGGAAGGTAAAGAGAACTATTACTGTTAGTAGTTGAGTTTGGACCTCAAGCTAAATAGATTTCCCCCAGCATGTGCCATGGTTTTAACATTTTCTAGTATGCAGCATCTGTCGACTGTGGTTACTTCACTTTTTTAATGTGTGATTTTGTGATTCTGTTCCATACATAGAAACCATGCTTGCCGAGATTGGTTGTAGCGTCTTAGTTCTTCTGTTTTTTTATAGTTAATACTCACGGATCCGTGAACTTATGAACCACAGAGCCTTGAGCGCTGCCAACTTAAGGAGGTAGTAGCTGCAAAGCCCGATAAGCTGGACTCTTTAGGTACTGTAGTGTAATTCTGATCAGTTGCTTCTATTTTGTTCTCAGTTGCTGTTATTAGTTATCAATGCTACCACTGAAAGAATACGAATTTTCACTGGTTAATGTTTTTAGTTGTTGATAATGGAGAAAATTGGAGTGTCGGGCAGAGACAGCTTCTCTGTTTGGGACGTGTAATGCTAAAACGCAGCAAACTTTTATTTATGGATGAGGCGACTGCCTCAGTTGATTCACAAACAGATGGCGTGATCCAGAAGATCATCAGGGAGGACTTCTCTTCCCGTACAATTATAAGCATTGCCCATAGAATTCCAACAGTTATGGACTGTGATAGAGTTCTTGTAATTGATGCAGGTTTGTGGCTCTCCCACCCCGTAGTTCAGCCATGCTTCATCACATACTGACATTAGCGGACCTAGTACCATTCTGAAGTCAAGCATCTTTGTTTTCATTTATTTTTCGTTTCTTATTTCTTGAGCAAATAATTCCTCTGAGAACAAGTAGACTGTCAAAATGTCGCCATTTTGGCCTACCTTTGATCTGTTCCTGATTGCATGCAGCAGATTACCTAAATTAATCATGCGCTTTTTTCCTATGATTCTGTTGCGCTCTGACTTTGCCTGATCTGGGTTTATTCTTCATGATTGCACCTAATAGAGATTTCCTGCTTTCACCGAAGCTCGGTGAAATGATTATTGTTTTTCTTTTTGTGCATTGAACAGGTAAAGCAAAGGAATTTGACAAGCCATCGAGTTTGCTGGAGAAGCCTTCTCTCTTTGGAGCATTGGTTGAGGAGTATGCCAACCGATCTTCTGAACTCTAGCTCTGATTCTAGCATTCTTGGAATGGGCTGAAGATTGATTCTTGTTGGTTGAACTATATTTTCCACAACTTCGTCTTACATGTTAGGAAGCATACGGGCTATTCAAATGTTAAGATTTGTCAATAGAGGACGCGGTACGGTAGTTGCATTATCCACACCACAATTGATGAGCAGCCAGAAACCAAAACCAGTTCTTGAAGTGAAGCTGATGGACGCGGTATCAGCTGCCATGAATCAAGTTCCTTTGCGGCAAATATCCTGAATTCATTAGTTGATCCTCGTACGGGAAAGTTGATCTCCTGCTCTCTGCAAGGATCATTAAGAACTCGAAGCATTTCAGCACTCGTCATCTATAGCTTATTTTATTGTATTTTATTTCTGAACGTCCTTATGATAGGTTCTTCCACATTGCTTTCAAGGATTTATCGAATTATCAGGACCATCTAAGAATCTGGCTAAAGTCCTAGTGTACATTCAGATGCTTGAATTTTATCCATATTTTGTATATGATTATTCTTAAATCATATAAATTATTATTATTAGTATCCTTGACTACTTTTATCTTTTTTAATAAATATAAGTTATTTTTATTTATATGGAGTTATTTTATTTAGTTAATTATAATTAATGTTGCTAGAAACAGAATATTCATTCATAACAAAATCAAAATATATTAATTTTTAGGAAAAATTTCAGAAACCTCCTTTGAGGTTTTTAACAATTTCATTTAGCTTTCTCAACATTTTAAAAATCACACATATCGCCGTATAATTTAAAATGACAATACTATCCTTAAATATTTTAATGAAATTTCCTTGTTTGGTGTGCTTATATTTAGAATGACTTTTAAAATTATATTTCATTCATTTTCCTTCTTGTGCCTTTTATTTATTCAATGTTTTTGCTTATCTTTATTTTCTATTTTTTGGTATTAAAATTAACAATAAATAAATAAGAAATGATCCAAAATTACTACGAAATTATGATAATTTGACTACTCGAAAAATTTATAAACTCTAAATGAATTATTTCAACATTTTCTTTTATACCTTATAAATCTAAATTCATAATAAAATAACATCAAAAGTATCCTATTATAGTGATAAAATTATTATTATAGTTGTTTATTAAACAGTAAGTATGGACATGAAAATTTTGGTACCTTTTCCTTATAATTATATTAGATAATCTTATAATTGTATAGAAAAATAAATTAAAACTCATTACACAAGGGTATTTTTAGGTATTCATTTAAAAATTTGACCAAATCAATATTATTTTAAGGTTTTGTTACAAAAACTATCAAATCAATGGAGGTAGGTATAATTCTTCAAATTTGAGGGGAGCTCAATGAAATTGTTAGAAATCTCAGGAGAGGTTTCTGAAATTATCTCATATTTTTAAAATAACTATTAATTAATTTTTTTTTTCATGAATTATTCTGCTTGCTCAACTTCAACAACTAATCAAAACTTTTCTTTAAAAAAAAAAAATTCATTGCAATCAGGTGGAAACAGCGAAGTACGAACAAACAGAAAATTTGAGTCGTGACTGTTAAAAACATAAAAATAAAAAAGAGAACGACGAGTTAAATTAGACCGTCTCCCCTCTTACCCCTAAAACCCTACTAAAACCCCCCACATCCGTTTTCCAAGCTTCCCGAGAGAGAGAGAGAGAGAGAGAGAGAGAGAATAGAGGACGATGGGGAGGTCGCGAAGGAAGTACAGGAGGTCAAGGCCGAAGGTGCGGGTCGGGTTGCCAAAGAAACACCCTAACGTATTCAAGCCGGCCTTCAATCTTCCCCCGAAGCTCCGAACTCTGTTGGATCCCCACTCTTCCAAGTGGGACGACACAGCTAGCGTCATCCACAATTACAAGTCATTCGGCGTCGTTTCTAACCCCAACCTGCTCAGCGTACGCTCTCGCACCTCCCACATCATAGAAACCGATTCTCTTCAGGTCCCACCGCCGCCTCCATCCGACGACTCCAACGCCTTCGATTCCGGGAGCGATCTCGAAGAGGATGGTCAGTTTTATTTTAATCTTTATTTTTGGATTGAATACTGAATGCATTTTTGCCTTCATTTTCAAGGTAGTTTCATTTTTTTAAATTATTATTTTTAAATAGATTTTGGGTCAGTTTCTCCTTTGCTTAAACATACAGTTTAGCTCATGTTTAAATTGCAATAATGAGATGTGAACATTGAGGTGCATTTCGAAAAGGATTTTGGATCTTATATACTGCTGTGAAAAAATACCAATGCCAGGTTAATTGTTTAATTAGTTTCTTCTAGAATTGTTTAAAACTCCAGCAAATGGGAAGCTGGCCCCGCGCCCGCCCCCACCCACCAAAAAAAGAATTTTGTTAATTTGGTCGTAGCTTGAACTTTGCAGGCGGATCGTTTTAATAGGTTTCATTCTTTCATTTTCTTCTTGTGGCGAAAAAACATATGCTTTGAGTTTTTCCTCTTTTTTTTTTTCAACATAAAAAGCTGCTCATTGCCATAAACATAGGTTTTTTTTTAAACATATGCAAAAACATATCTGTTTGGATCCTTCAGTTTTTCAAATACTATAAAAATTTTTAAAAAGTGCTCTAAAAGGTACTCTAAAAGTAGTTTAAATTTTTTTATGTTTAAAAAATATCCCAAAATATATCTTAAAAACTCTACTACTCTTAAATATTCCAAAATATTTTCTAAAAATATCCCAAAATATACTCTAAAAAGTCCGCTACAGTAAAATTTTTCAACAACACCCTAAAAAACAGCTAATCCAAACATAGAGATACTTTCTTCCCCTTCCTTGTGACATCAACTGTGTAAAGCCTTGAATTATGCAGTTTTTATTTGAGAATGTACCCCTCACCTCTATGTAAGTATTGCTGACATGATAGGTTGGAAAATTCCTAGATTTAAAGACAGCACTTGGGAAGAAGCGCAGTGATGGGAAAAGTGCACCATTGCAACCTCTAACTACCATGCAGCGCTATCACATTGGGCGACTTATAGATGAATATGGGGAGGACTATGAGGTGAGAATTGCAAATGTTACAGATACCTATCAATTTTGTTATTTGTTTCTTTGTGCTAATTAGATTTCTTGCTCTACAGAGCATGTTCAAGGATACAAAACTAAACAAGATGCAGCATTCAGTAGCAACGCTAAAGAACTTGTGCAGAAGATATCACACCTGTCAAGGGAAAAATCCTTTAATTAAGAAGTAAGAAGGGAACAATTGAAGTTTGCTACAGAATACCAGTAGCTTTTGCTGCCAGGGGATGCACATTGATTTGTTTTTGACTGAAAATGCCAGCACCCCTACTGTTGGATGTTTGCAATACATAAATGATTAGCTTACTGAGTAGAAGATGAATCTTTTTAACGACTGATCTACTAAAAAATTTCTTTCACTTCTTGATATCCCTTATCCTTCTTTTCCATTTGCTTCTCCTTTTTGGTATGTTTTGGGGTGTTTGTGGACCATGCTTTTCCTAAGGTTTTTTTTCCTTTTGTATTTTTTGGGTGAGACTTTAATGACAGAATTTCGCTTTAGAGACTCAGATGAAGAGGGGTTTTTTATTTGTACGATACCAATGAACCTAATTGCAGGGGGGCACTCTAATTTTTTTTTATTTTTTTTCTTTGCCAAAAGCATGTTATTACAAAAGGACGATACAGAACGAGTAATAGGCCTCCAAAATTCACCTGATAACGCGGCCACCGGTTATTTTGGAGCTCAGGTTAGCCTTGTTCAAAAGCCAACTTATTTATGTACAGGTTATTTTGGTTTCGCTCAGAAATCTCGGAGAAGACAACAGTTCCAATCCCAGAGAAACCCATAGATTCCCTTATACATGCATAGCAAATCAAGGACAATTAAAGCTGCGATTCTTGTTATATACCCATGAATGCTCGACACTGTGATTCCCAGTGCTCCTTGGCTTGTCTAATTCTTTCGGCTCGTTCAGACTGTAGTCGCGCCGCCCAGTACTCCGGACAACTGTTCAAGTATGCATTTTTTTTTTTAGTACGAACTAAAGTAATGAATAAATGCCAACTCACAACACTCGTCATGAAATCTACCAAGTGCATAAGTTTAAGACCACACCTTTGGCTTAATAGAATGTTTAGCTCCTCCAAATGCACTGCACCTTCATAAACTCCTGCCTACAATTGCAACTCTGACAGTTATAGAATGGATGACAACATGCAATATGAATCTCAAGGGACATTATTGGTCTTTTAACTCACAATTATAATTCAATAATTCGGGATAAGAAGGAAATTGTAATCAATGAATCATATGACACAACAAAATAGTTCCCTAGGCTTTTCACCATAGTATACACACCACCTCAGCATATACCACATAAATTTTGTTGAAATGTCAGAAGAAGCAGGAAGTTAACCGTCATTCCTTAATTTATATGACCAAAAAGAGTTTGAGGAAAATCAGCAACAAGGGCTGATGCATGCGTATGAGAATATGCAATAATAAACACAGGTGCTACAGCAAGTGAGCTAATACAGTTTTAAACTACTTATTTTTCTTGAACCATATGATAGTTCATTTTCATCCAACTGTTACAATCTTTAAACACAGCCGTATGCCCACAACATTGCAAGGTGAAGTACAACCATTTTAATTTTGAATGGTCAACCAATTGATCTGATAACCGTCCAGAGTAATAAATTTGGAGGTTTTGTTGAATGTTGTAAAATTCCTTCTTTAGCTCCATGGAGAATGGTGTCCGAAAAATTTCAAACCTAGATGGATTGCTCAAACAAAAAATTATTCGCCAATGGAAAGAATAAACAGACCTGATGTCAAGTTCATGTGGAGATAAACATCGACAAGTTTGTTTGACCTAAAATTGTGAGAAGTTTGATGGTTCTTAAGATTCAGTTGGAATGTACAAAACCAGTCTGATGGCCAGACAAGGATATGCAAATATAAGACTTTCTGGTAGACTTGAATAATCCATTGAGCAGCACACAAATTCGTTCACTTGATGTTAAATCTATGGAACAGATGAAAAAGTGTTTAGTGAAACATTTTCAATAGATTCCAGCCTGCTGACTACATGACCAAAAGCAGGACAGATTGGTAGGGAAGAACTTAAAAGTGAAGACTTCTAAGTATTTACCTCTCTGCAAAGGGGGCACTTTTCCTTGGGACTAGCTGCCTTTAATCCATCCACTATGGTCACTGATCCTGCCTTGCAAGCACACATGTAGCAGAATATATGACCGCAAGTCAAAGACACTGGATCAAAAACTGTATCCTGTTGGAGAAGAGCAGCTAATAAAAAGCTCAACATTATGAAAAGAGTAGCTAATCTGATATGATGAATTTTACAATATTGATAAGACTTAAGGTTGAGTTTCTTCACAAGAATTATCAGCAAGAATCAAATATCAATAAGAAAAAGCATAAGATAGTTACTCGTGTTAATGAAATAGCTGGCACGCTTATACGAGATAATAAAGAAACTAACCAAGCATATCGAACAAGTCAAGTCCAGTTCAAGCTTGACTGAATCAAAGAGCTCACAAGAAAGAGAAGGCTTTTCATCTTTAAATATGAGGGAACAGCCGTTGAACAATGCAGGAGCATTCCTTGTATTGGCCTTTGTCTCTTGCGAATTTATGTGAAAGGCCATCAGCTCACATAGCCATGGTGATTGGAGAATCTCAAGGTTCCTACTGTGCGCTTGAGACTTAAATACTTGGCCTTGCTTGGAGTAGTGTATCTGTAGAAAAAATCAACAACTGGTAAATCCAAAATTCTTGTGCATTAACTTGAGAATATCATACTCATGCTCTATTAAAAGTAAACCTTATCATATTTCTTCAGTATCTTACGCAAGGCAATGGCATTAATCAGTGCGTAAGTGACCAACTCCTTGCCTTCTTCAATCAGTGCGATATGGTTGCCTTGTATTTTGTCTTTAAACCAAATAAAACACTTACGGAAACCCGATGCCAAATGGAGCTCAAGCAACCTCTGGGCTTTCTCGTTGAAGAAGCCAACAACTTCTGACATTTCCTTCAGAAGCGAAGGGAAAAACGTGCCATCACACACTGCGGAGCACAAAATACCCTCATTTAGATGAATCCTAATCAAGAGAAGAGTTTATACTTGAAGGGTTCAATGCTTATACTGATTTGTCTATGCAAAAGTGAAAACAGGAATAAAAGCATCATTTCCTGCCACACCAAGATGTATGGTGCCTTTTTTTTTTCTGGGGGTTTTCCTGCTACATGGTAAACATATTAATGATTCCCCCCAACCCCCCTCAATTCAAATAGCCTATCTCTTCAGTTACAAGGTCTTAACTATCGTTCAATCAAGGTGGATTTTTAGATAGTCAGGACGTAGAAATTGATCAGAATAAGAAATTCAAAATTCTTATCCAGATCCTTCGGCATCAAGAAAAACTCGTAGATCTTTTAAATGCATCATTCTCCCATCTCTACCAATATGTAAAGTCTTTCCTAATACCAAGACAAACGAAAAGGTATTACCAGTGTTCTTGTATTGTACAAGTACTCACCGTAATTAGGAGGTGATGAAAGGTAACCAATGATAACAAAAACAAAGAGAAAACGTACGTTGAAAAGCCAATTCAGAAATAGAACAACCCAAAAATTCATCCCAATTCAACGCAGGACGTAGGAATCTGCAACCCAATCACACCTTATCTCGGTGTCGAGTAATAATTACAATATCATTTGTAACCGACGGAATGTGTGAAATCCAATAATCAGAAACTAATAGTACTAGTTATGAATAGAAGCTCTAAGCACCTGGGCAAGAGTCCGGGCAAGAGGAGGGTCTACCGCAGAGGTTAGAATCTCCGAAATGATCAGGAACAAGGGCAGTGTTATCACGGGATTGAAGGTGTCGTCGACACCTTTTCAAGATTTTCTTGAGATTCTTGAAACCAACCCCAGGCAATTTCTTCCTCTGGCATTGTCCTTGCATGTATTCCTCGTACTTCTTGCAGAACTTCATCTTCAACCTCGCCTCACCTCCTTGCTTTTCCAATTCCTAATAGGCTAATACTAATGATATGGTGATAAAACGCGGCGTAGAATTTAAAATTTCTTATAGGACCGAGGTTTTCTTTGTCCTGTTCAGATAACTTAAAAACCCTTAACCTTTTGGTTAGAAATTTGCTACTCAACCCCTTTCTAATACTAATGTGCGAATGCCAATTCTGAGTAGTTTAGGTTCTGAAAACAATACTGGGCTGCTGCTACTGCAACTATCCAATCCAGGAGTCTCCTCTCTCCACTGGACGGCCCTCTCTGTTCTCTCTCTATATTCCCGAAACTACGGTTTTCGACGACACCTGAAGCCAAATTAACCCAGCGTAACCCGGTCCGTCCGAGAAAATAAGGGAAAGCTTTACCACAAAAGTGGCGAATTAAGAAAGGGGTAAAAAAATATAAGAAAAAGTCAATTTACCGCTAACCTTTTCACAAGTCTCGCGGATTACTACGTTGGAGTGCCACCTGATGAATAAGTTATTTGGTAGATATGACCGATGCAATACATTTAAATTTGCGACATAGTTCAGGACGTATATTGTGATATTTATTAAAAATTTTGAAATAAATGAAGAGGTAAATATGTTTTTTACCAATTCAAAATTGCACATCGCTGGCCACGCAGACACGTATATCCATTCAATGCAGCCCAACTATGCGATTTCTGACGCAGACGCCAAAAATTAGAAAAAATCACAAAAAAGTTCCATCACCAACTAAAATAAAAAACCACCGGCTCAGTCGCGTTCCTCGTTGGATTATAGGTAAGCGTTCGAATCTCATTTGTAACGAAAAAAATTTAAGAGTTGTACCATAGTACTTTCTTGATCTAGTTGGGTCTGTATACCCACTAGCCCCTACAACAGCCTCCTTAGGCTCCCCTACTCCTAGATTAGGATAGAGTAGGTTATACAAATGTATTATTACGAATAAAAAAAATTAATACATACACACATATATATATATATATATGCGCCCACGCCGGTCCGGGATAAGCCAGAAGCTTCCTGGTTTGCTTAAATTCCTTCCTGAGTTGGGTCGCACTCGCACCCAAAAGAAATTCCGGCACTTGGCCCCTAATCTCACGGGGAAATAAAAAGTCAAAAAGGGTTAAACTTAAAAGATAAGTACGCAATCTACTACTATTCTTGCACACGCAAGTTCACAAACTATTCATTTTAGTTTAGAATTAATTTTATATATATTGACAATATATACACTTTCACCGTTAAATATATGATATATAGTTCAAATTTTACATATGCGTTATCCATTCAATCGTGACAGTACATACACTGTCAATGTACATAAAATTAATCCTAAAATAAGACAGAGTAGTTTGTGAACTTGAGTCGGCTAGAAGGCAGAACAAAATGCCATTCACTGAACTTAACCTGGATTGGCTAAAACTACTCTGTTTCTATTTTCTACTTCTTCCGAGTCTAGTGCGTATGAGATACTACTATATTCGGTCGGCCGGCTTCAACTTAAACGGCTCAAATCACATTTCTCATTTGGGGGAGACACAGCATTCTTAACCTCTCTGTTAAGGCATTTAATTAAAAAAAAAAAAAAAAAAAAAAAAACCAATACACGCGTGATGATATCAAACCAATATATGCTTATTTAAATTGTTTTAATATCTGAAGTGATTAGGAGTCAATATCAGGAGTCTAGACACTGGGTTGAATGAATCAAAGGTCAATGCTTCACCAATTCCACAAGAAGTTACCCCGCTTTCTTATTATTTGTACGATGATGCGTTTTGGCGGAGATGATAGTAGTAATTAATTAGCGGTGTCATCATGATCATGCTGCCATTAACAATTGTTTATACATACAATTTAAATAGAATGCAAAACGGCGACTTCGTTACAGTAGATTGTAGACGGATGCATTACTTAACCAACCAACATGTAGTAGCGGTCATGCATTAAATGTCAATCACGCAATTTATTGCCGTGATCATCACCATCATGACCTGGCTTGGTGGTGGTGGTGGAATTCTGCTCTGGAGGCTTGCTTTTGTTCGGATTGTATTTTTTATTTTTTTTTATAAAAAATTTATCGTAATAATTTGCTATATATAAAATTAAAAAAAATCTGTTCACGAAAAATGTAACAATTTTTCTTTGGAAACAAATTCGGCTTCATAGAGAGGGAATAACGTAACAATTAATTAATTGTGAAAGCTCGTAGAGAAAACGAATTCGACTTCGTCATCGTGGCTACAGAAAAGAAAATACACCAAATTGCTGCTCCACTTGACCTTGAGAGAGAGGGGGATTGGTTTACACTTTTGCACATCAAAGATCAACCCACCATAGTGGGATTGATGTCCAATATTCCTTGCCATTCATTCTTCTTGGCTCTTTTTCTTTATTCATTCGGCATTCATGCATCGAAGGTGAATGGTCACGGAATTCATCCACCACCACAAACCCTTTAATCAATACCTTTGCTTATGACCACTTTTTCTTTCTTTCAACTTTTTTTTTTTTTTTTTTGCCTTTTAACCTGATTAATCACGGAGATGAGCCCCTCGAGCAGATTTTGAGAACCTTGGAAATTGATTACTATTTGACTAGTGATCCTATTATAGAACCTGGAAATGGATTTTTTATTTTTTAGGTTATTTGGTGGTCGAATCGAAGACATAATAATTACATAGTAGTCATGGATTTTGATGAGCTAGAAATTGATTGGTGGGCCTTTTAGACGGAGACGTAACATTCAAACTGGGCCAGTATATGGTCCGGTGGGCATCACCTGTAGCATCAGCAGGTCGTGGAAATGCACCCTTCCTTCTCAGCTCACAGGCGGGCCTATTTTAACTGGATAGGCCTAAGGTAAATAAGTCATCTACACAAATCTGATTTTGTTTTTGGGTTTTTAAATGGACTTGAACAATACCTTGATACCCAACACCTCAAAACCCATATTATGGAAAAGGCATTGGCAGACAAATCTGACAAAGTACAATAGATGCGGCGGCATCCCAACTATGGACTACTGAGCAGTGAATATATCTGATTTAAAGGCTTTGAAATGAAGGCTTGAGAACCTTCGTGGCCTTTCCAGCCAAAACATTATGGAATGGCGTGCACATGCGTTATTCCGATTCCAATTCCAATTCCACCAAGCAAAATTATTAATTGTAACCTCTCAGTCATTTAAAACTAAGGCCCATGTCAGTCCAAGTGTACAATACTCTTCAACGAACCCGGTCCTAACAACCTCTGTTCTGTCCGTCCGGGAGTTGACTGTTGTGCTCAGACGAAGACGAAGAAACAAAGAAAATAAGTACAGATCATGGCGACGGGGGAGAAGTCGGTGATGGTGGTCGGAATCGACGACAGCGAGCACAGCTTCTATGCCTTGCAGTGGACATTGGATCACTTCTTTACTCCTTCACCAGCAGTCTCTCCATTCAGGCTCGTCATCGTCCATGCCAAGCCTACTCCTTCTTCTGCCATCGGCCTCGCCGGCCCTGGTACCTCTACCTCTACCTACCCACCTTAATTTTTACTTCTAGCGTTTATTTTCACAACAACAATCTACAAGATTACATAGGGACTTGGGAGTTTGTCTGCCTTGATTCTTTCGAGGGACCTCTTATATATATATATATATATTTATTTATTTTAATTTGTGATTCTTATTAGTATCATTATGTAAAATGATCAGGTGCGGCTGATGTGTTGCCGTACGTGGATGTGGATTTAAAGAAGATAGCGGCCAGAGTTCTGGAGAGTGCCAAGGAGATTTGTTCTGCTAAATCGGTATTTGTTAATTTCTTTTTCTGTTTCTAATTCATTCTTTTATAGCCTTTTTGTTTTTGCTGTTATTAGGACTCGTAGCTCAGTTTTTGTGCTCTGATTCACGGCACAGATATCTTAACCCAATTTATCTTCTTCGCCTCTTTACCATACAATCTTCCAATAAGAAGATTCCCACTTAAAAAGCTACGCCTACTAGTAGAAGGTATAGTATGTTGTCATTCACTGGTAAAAGGTACACCGCAATCCCGTAGCCCAGAGTAATGCGTCCAGCGTAGCCAGTTCAAAATCGTCTCGAAACAAAGCCAATTTTGAAAAACAAAATAGAGATAAGAGAGAGATGAAAATTTGTACTATTTTGACATTTGCAGGTGAATGATGTAGCTGTGGAAGCTGTCGAAGGTGATGCCAGGAACGTTCTTTGTGAAGCTGTGGAGAAACACCATGCCTCTATCTTGGTCCTTGGCAGTCATGGTTACGGAGCTATAAAGAGGTATTGGTTCCACCCCATTAACTCTTTTTTGTTGTAGCTTGGCTTAACTTGCTGCTACAGCAGAGATGCGGTTATGACATTTTCGTGCTATCTTCTGCAGGGCTGTTTTGGGCAGCGTGAGTGATTACTGTGTTCATCACGCCCACTGCACCGTGATGATTGTGAAAAAGCCGAAAATCAAACACTAAGGCTGCTTCATCTAATACTAAGTAGTACTACATCTTAGTTCTTACCATATAAATAATGTGCAATCCAAACACCACTACTGTACTGTAATTTCAGGAGCCTCTGCGTTCCCTGATCATTGTTTCCAAATTATACTCTCAATAGTCTGTACTCTTGTTTGAGATGATCTGCGCGCATAGACGTGCCTTGTTATACGATGATTTTGCTTGTGCATCTTTGCTACAGTTTTGTTTAAATCTTAACAGAAGGCATCATATGCACTGTTTCTAAGGGATCCTACGCGGGTGCTTCGAATTACTACACCCACGTTATTGATTCGAGACAACTACGCAGATTGCAGAGCCAGAAACCATGCCGGAAGAATTGAGACAAGGATTTTCTGTTACCATTTGAAGAACCAAGGGTTCCGTTTGTCAAAACTTATGACCCAACTTACAATCCTCTGGCCGGGAAGGACCACGAGAAAGGGGAAATACCGTGTTTGAATTGAACCTTTTCTGGATAGAGATCGGAGGAGCGGATCAAAAAAATTGGTGAAGGAAGCAGGAAAACCTAGCATCCCAGCAGAACAAGTATAAATATGCTCAATTGTATAATCCTTATCAGTTGAGCTGGAGAAAAAATCTACACTCCCAGCATACATGCTAGTACACTTGATATCGTCATCATAATGCATAGCTCCAAAACCAATTAAGTCGCGATTAGGACAGCTGCGCAGAGCCATCTTATGAACAATCATGCCTTTGTCTTGTGCTCAAATTAATAATGGAGGAGCATAAACTCGGGACAGGAACATGCTGTTGATTAGAACAGCCGTGCAGAGCAATTACATTGTAGAAGAATAACTAAACAAGGAGAGTCAGTGAAGGAAGATTATACTGCTATCTACCAAGAGGATTTGGCTGTGGATGAAACAAAATGTTGATGTTCAGCTTCGATTACCTCATTGGGACTGATGCTTCTTCCCCTGAGGAAATTGGAATACCAGTGTGCGGAGAGCTTTGGGTATCTTTTCAATTGCTTGTCACTCAAATCCACAAAGTACATTCCAAAACCCTTCTGATAGCCACCCACCACCTCAAAACCGTCTAAGAATGACCACATGAAGTACCCTTTTGAGTTTGCTCCATTCCTTCCAATATTTTGAAGATGAAAGACCAGAAAAAGGCTATCATTGAAACTTCAAAAAGGCCCAAAAGTTATTCTTTGATAGACTTGCAGTGACTTGAATTAAGCTCCTTAATAGAATGTGCACAACTTTGATAAATTTCTTTTGGACAATAGCTTGGAAACATTTTGCACGATATTAAAGTTTCGAAATTGAGTGGGAGGATTTATTCATAGGGATAACACTAGACAGATCAAGATCAAGTAGCACTGCCCCTTAACTTAAAATTGCGGTGCTTACCTTAAAGCACGAAGCAAAGTGCCGATATATGCGTGCATGTATTCCACCCTTGCCGTGTCATTAAGTGTTCCATTACGAACCGTCCGTTGACCTTGCAAAAGGAGTCATGAAAAGAAATTCTCATAATTTTCCTGTTGGCATCCAAAAATAAAATAAAAAATACACCGCACAGCAGAAGCTATTTCAACACGAATAAATATGTGGAAAGAGGAGGAAAATAAACACACATTAAATATTTAATAAATTTATTAATTCAAAACTCAACAATAACAATATCAAATCATAGTTTTTTTTGCTTATGACAACTCACAACTCTTCAACTTAGAAGCTTTCTCTCTATCTCACAACTTGAGTCAACTCAACTTTTCAAGTAACAATGTACTAAACTAATAGTATTTATAGATTGTAGAACTTAATAAACAAAAACAATTCCAAATAGAGACTTACTTGGAACTGATTTGAGATTTCATAACCTAATATGAAAACTAAACAAACAGAACACCAAAACAAGAAACTAAACTAATTAGGAAATAAACAAATAGAATAGTTTAGTTTACTTCCATGATTTTCCAACATCTGATTTTCTAATATCAGAGCAAAGAAGTAAAGAGAAAGAGACATTAGCTAGGTAGGTGTAAACATCTACCAAAAAAACATTTGAGTGTACATACTTTTAGGTACTGAAATTTACAGAGTAAACATGCTGCATAGATATTTCCATATGTCGAACAAATCCACTGGGTAAAAAGAAATTCTAAAGCAATAGGCATAAATAGGCTTGCACATATCTTGGTTAAGCAATCATCCTTTTTTTGTTCTTTGGTCCAATAACAATTCACCAAATAACTCTTATCTGAGGCAAGCACTTGAAGGAATCAGAACAAGCTCTTTGTAGAGATTAATCATACACGCAGCAAACTAACAGGACAAATGGGCTGCAGAGCAACAGATGTCTTTATATCCATGTACAGAGAGAGAGAGAGAGAACCATTTTCATGGACGTAAGTAGGTGGGTTTGCATAAACTCTCTTGATGTATTCCAGAACCTCATAAAGACCAGATGATGTCTCATTATCCTGTGGCAAAAAAGATGGTTAACAAACAAGAGTGGAATAATAAAAAAAGATATGAAACTAATTATTAAGCCCAACCTGATCTAGTGATGAATCACCCCGCTCATCTACAATACCCAAAAAATAGATGATAGCAATTAGTTGTATTCAATCATAAATATCTGTAGCATCATAAAAAGTCAATAGAGCAAAGACATAGATTTTTAAAAAGAGAACACTAAGACTAAATCATCCAAGAATAGAATAAGATAAACAGAGGACAGAACAAGGGTGTGGCGGAAGGATGGGAGTAGTTGAGCCACTTGGCAAAGTCAGATTCAATGAGTCAAAAGTCAAGCTCACAGCGAACGCAAGATGCGTACACATGATGGTTGCGGCAATATCAGTGTTGACATCCCTGATCTCCATTTTATGGCTACTAGGGTCGTCCTTGATGTAGAATGTTGCATAATGGTTTAGCCCTATAAAATCAAAAGAGCCCTTAACTAACTCAAAATCATGTCGAGTGAGGGCTGGAATCCTTGTTCCAGCATTCTTCTTCATTATGTCAGGATAGTCTCCAAACACCAATGGATGGAGAAACCTGCAAAGGGAATTGTAATGACCACCATTTTAAGCAGCAAAGTAGCGAAAAACAGCTTTGAACTTCCTAGAGATGAAGAAATATGTATTAAGGGCTCTCTGCCAAGCAATCATAACTGACCAACCGATGTAAAAATCAATGGCTCTTTGAGCTGCTTTGATATCTTCTGTAGCCTTAGTATATGGAAAGAACCACGGAGCATAGATGTTTAGTCCTACAAAGCCATGTTGACTCCCCTGCACAAGGACATATCTTTTTCGTTATTTGAGTCGATGCTCGTGGCATTGTCATGTTGAGTATGAGAAATTAACACCACTAATTTAGAATCATTCTTCCATCAATGACTACAAATCAATCAGCGTGTCACCGATGTATATGTAGAGATGGAATATAATTCATCTGTAAATTCTCCTAAAACCAGTATGATGAGAATTAAGTTCCTATCACTATAGTAAAACTATCAACACAGAGAAAACCAAGTCATGTGAAAAAATTATAAATATGTAATCATACTGATACCTTATATTTTCTGTTGTACAGTTTCACAGCAGATGAATGTGCCAACAACATGTTATGAGCAGCAATGTACGGCTCAGTTGAGGAGTTACCCTTGGTACAAGCCAATCCAAATGGCAGAGAGCAGCGCCCAGGGGGAATGAGTGCGTTATCATAACCACCAATTGCAAATGCATTGGCCTCATTTACTGTAGTCCAATGCCGAACCCTGTCACCAAATTCCTTGAAGCACACATCGGCATACACTGTAAAGTCTCTTCTGCAATCATAAAACGAGTAATTGCTTAGGTTTAATCACTTGAAATCTGAGATCATTAACAATCCAAACACTATAAAAAAGTCTCCATCACTTGCTTACAACAACAACAAATATCACTTGCTTACACCATAGTCCGACTAAGCCATCCCCCATATCCATCTTCAAGAGCTTGCGGAGTATCCATGTGGTACATAGTGACATGCGGCTGAATTCCTGCATTTATGTTTTAGAAGCAGAGATATTTAACATAAACACATTACAATGACATGAAAGTACGATAGACTGCAATAACATTTTGGAAGTGTATGAGTTGCCTCAATATCATGTCTTCAAGCAAGATTTCCCACAAAGGCAGATTGCCTACCAAGTAATCAATTAAAAAAAGAATACCTTACCATGCATGATGAGTTCATCTATGAGATTGTTGTAATATTCTAATCCCTTGGGGTTGACAGGGCCTCTTCCATCTAAAAGAGACAAATACTGAATATGAGAAGCAAGAAATAGAATGCAAGAGTGTTAGTAGCCTAATGAAAGTGAACGCACTAGGAATAAGTCTTGACCACGAAATAGAGAATCTGTAGGCCTCCAAACTTGTGTCAACCATGCACTGGACATCTTCCTGAAACAGATAGATTTCCTAAAGTAAACAATGTCCTAACCTTAACAAGATAATGCTTGAATTTATTAGTTGCTATCCAAAAATCTTATTCTAGTTAGAAAAAAGATAAAATAGCAGGCTGTAGAAAATCTGGTATCACTATCTACCTATGTTTTATCTCCCAAAGAGGGAATACAGTTTTAGATCTCCAATTGATGAGGATATGAGCATGCGTATGAAAATGAGTAACTCAAGCGGGTTTGAGCGAGTTATAATTGGGTCAATTCATTTACACCCATTTAATAAATGAGTCAAAATAAGTCAACCCTTTTGGTCCCGTTTAATAAATGGATATGGGTATACCTAATTATCTCTTTATAAACCACTTGAAATTTATTTTTTATTTTTTTCCATGTTATTTGACAAGAAATAATGATATTTTATTGTGATTAGATTAGTAAGAAATTAAAATTTATCCCCTTCATAATTTGAATGTGTAATTATTTTTAAATGGGTATAAATTGGTGAGTTGAATCAACTCACTACCGACCAATTAAATGGGTCCAATTGAGTCATCCATTTAAGCCCGTCCAAAGTGTATTGCATACCCAAGTCCACTTATTAATCGGTGGGTTTGGGCGAGTCAATACAAACGGGTTGCTTGTGATTGACACCTTTGGATTTGAGACAACATTCTTTCATCTGCCTAAGATACTATTGAAGATGGAATACAAGTTCAGCCCACCAGTAATATCATAAAGGTGAGTACATTTATAGAGTCCTATATTCTTTCTATTTTTATCACTCAGTGGAGAGGCTTAGTTAGTGTATCTAGAAGCCCTTGGAAGATGACCCTCATAGTTTCCACCAGCTATGTATTATCTAGTTTGAGGCAAAGATAAATTCATCTGCCAAAGGGTTTGTCACTAGAGTTTCAATGAAGTGTAGTTGAATTAATGTTTTCCTAATGATGGTGTCTGATTTATGCAACTTCACCGCAAGTCAGTTGGTCAAGCAACCAACATTACAATTGAGTTCAGCTTGCTTGCATCAGGACGACAACATTACAAGTTAAAGTACCTTATGACTGATGAGCAACCAACCACCCCCAAAGTAGTTGGCCACCACGTCTTGTGGGGTGGGAGGTCAAGGGTTTAAACCTTGTCTCTCATCAAAGTTGGCACTTAATGTGGCTTCTCTTAAATCTATATGGGTGCTTAGTGCCATCGTATGGTCCGATGGTGGTTCAGTTCCCATCAATTCTGATAGGACCTATAGGTTAGAGTACGACTAGGAGTAGGTGTAGATAGTGATAATAGACAAAAACTAGGAATCAATTACATTGCAAAGCTTCCTTAATTTTTACTACTAGAAAGATCAATTACATAGAATTATCAACTTATTGATGGAAAGAATTAACTGACAGGTCTAAATATACGTAATCCTTTCCTAAATCACACAATGAAGGAAGCATGAGGTGTGTTTGTGGTCACATGAGTGATGAGACGGGAAGCAAACGTCTACCTTGTACTTGTGATACTGATCACATGCTATGTCTCCAGTAGCTCCACCATAAAAATCTGAAATGGGAGCAGATTTTGAGAACATCCTTTGTAGATTAAGAGATAAATGCAAAAGAAAAGGAAAACAAAACGAGAGAGAATGAATAAAACCACAATCCTTCCGTCAAAATCATAAAATGGAGTAAAGCTATTCAAAAAAAGCTTAGTAATAATACACTATTCCACTGTCAATTTGATCATATTTTGAGTCGTCTAGTGCAATCTATTTTGAGTGGTAGATGTAAGGGCTTTGAAAGTGATACAGCACGCCAAGACTCAATTGAGAAGCAATGGTGATACAAGAGCAGGACCGGACCATAATAGAACAAAATAAGAAATTAAGACAAAAAGACGAACCAGAATGGGCACGAACAAAGGTATCCCAAATACTGGGCATCTTCCCATCTTCGAAAGCGGCACCTTCTACCTATCAATTGATAATTATGTTCATCAAATTTTCCTCGCGATTTATATATACATATATATATATATATATATATATATGTATGTATGTATGTGTGTATGTATGTATGTGTGCGTGCGCGCGCGCGCGCGTGTGCTGGGCAAGGTAGTACTAGTACCCAACGTCTTTAAAGAAAAAGGAAAGCAGCAGTCGTCAGTGAAACGAAAAAGGCTCAGGAAGCAAGGAAGACGCAAAGATCGAAACAGAACTAACTTGGTATGCGGAAGTGGCCGCGCCGAAAGCAAAGTCGGCCGGGAAGTCTGCTCTTGTATAATTCTCCACGCTGCCCACCAATACCATTCTCGCCATCATTTGCGACATCGTTAGCGCCAAAAACACCACATCCACATACATCGCCATACTCAAACTCCTCAGTTTCGACATCGTCTACTAGTCGAGCAGAGTCTACTTTTTCATGCACCAGATCCTCCCTGTCCCAGCCGGCTGCAATCTAATACTGCCACTCACTACCAGTGCAGTACTAGTGTACTACTACTTTGTGCTCCTCTTTGCTCAGCTTAAACCGTAAACTTTGACCGTATTTGATCGATTCCAACTTGAGGCCCCCACACCAACGGACAGATGGAGGGAAGTAAGAGGAATGCTTGCTTATTTACGGGAAAGAGATCGTCGACTCAAACAGCACATTGAACCGTGAAGGAGGACTATTTCACCCCTTTAATCATTCACATTGTACCAGTTAACTTCTGATACTCCAATTAAATAGCCGATAGACAGAACAAATGGTTGAACCAATCACACATCACACTGACAGGATCTCAAAAGTCAAAACCGAAAGAGAAATACCGTAGACTTTTTTTCGTTGTAAAAGTGTGTTGTGCCTAATTTGAATTTTAGTCATTTTATTTTACGATAAGAATGTAGCACAAATTAAGTTGGATATTTTTTTTTTTTTTTTTGCCAGTAACGATACATTTGTATAACTTATTCTATCCTAATCTAGGGGAGGGGGAGCCTAAGGAGGCTATGATAGGGGTTAGTGGGTATACAGATCCAACTAGACCAAGGAAGTGCTATGACACAACCCTTAGATTTTTTTCGCTGCTGGTTAGGTTTGAACCCAAGGAGGGACTTAAGCTCCTCTCTGATGGCCAGTGAGCCATTGGCCCAGTGGTAAATTAAGTTGGATATTCAGGGTCCATTTGGCACGATGTAAAATGTTTTGAACGACAATTTGTTAGCAGCAAACGTGGTAAAAGGGTCAAGTTGAATATGGTGATCACTGGTGACAAGGGCAAATGACTAGAAGAGTTCTCAACTTTGGTTCTTACTATTTATTTATTTATAAGTGATCGGAATTCGAATCTTTTACTTGCAATTCCTCTTCTTTTACTATCCAATCCAACTCTTCCCTAATAGATTTGGTTCTTAGAAATTTATTTTGTGCCGTTATAAGCTTCAAATTTTTACGTTGCAATAATTTAGTCCCTCACATTTGACCGATCAATAAAGAGCAAAAATGGATATGAACATCATAGTGTGGATAATTACATAACATTCACCAAACAAATTGATTTAATCCCTTCTTTATCCACCACCAAAACCATACCATCGTTATACAAAATGTTAAAGAGTTTTTCATTTGTGAATGACGAAAAATCACATTAATATGCGAGTGTGAAAGACATAAAATGTATAAAATCAATATGTGAGGAACGATTAATCATCATTTCACATGTAAAAGATAATAAAATATATAAAACCACTATGCGAGGATGAAAAATCGTCCTTTCATATGTGATAGATGTAAACGGTACAAAACCAATATGTGAAGTACTAATTTTATAATTTTTTCAAATAAGAATTAGATCCAAAAATTTTGTCATATGACACATGTGAGATAAAAAAGCTTAATTGAAAAATAAAATTAATGAAAAGCATGTTTATGATGTAACTACAGATTTTTTTGTTAAAAAGAAAAAACTATCCAAACCAAAACTTTTTTTCCCAAATAACCAAAACTTTTTTTCCAAATAAAAAGTTTGATGACTAAATTGCTGATGAAGCCCATTTGCTAGGAGGGGCTTCCTATATTCTTTTGCCGTCTTGTCTAAAGTAAGAACACGAACAAAAAATTCTCATCATTTTTAGGCCTATCAGCCATAACACAAAGCGCCCAGAACAGTTACTCGGGGCGACAAGGACAAAACTTTTAGGTCCATCTCTTCATAGCCTCCAGTAACATTTAGGTAAAACAAACACACTTGACATGGATTTGGTTTTTTGGAGGAAGATGAATAGTTGAATTTGCGCCATTCTATCCAGCAACAACAAAATCGAACTAAAACTAGTTTGGATAGTGTATTATTTGGAATATTATTTGGAATAATTACTGTAGCACTTTTTGTGATGTGATGTATGTGAGATAAAAAGGTGGTTGGAAATATAAAAAGGTGGGTTGGAAAATGTGTCTATGATGCAAGCGAAATATTATTTGGGATAATTGAGGTATCCAAACAAACCCACTGGGGATTTTATGGACTTGGGGATTTTATGGACACTAAACAAATACAGGCAGAAACATCAAATAGATTTCTTCTACAAATCAGGACCGGGACTATCTCAACGAACGCACGTATCCCAAAATAATTGTCCTTCACTGTTTGACTCATGTCTAACATAAAATTAGTTAAACTAGAAAAGTCCCCTTGAATGGACAGGGCAGGTATACTTTTTTTTATTATTTTTTTTATCAGACAGCCACAGTTAATCTACCCTATTCCTATTTTAGCGTACACTGCATGGGGCTCAACAGAACTTAAAAAAATCGATGAGAACTGAATTAACATCGAGTCAGACGAGTGCACTATGCGTGCACTCATATGAATTTATAAGAAACCACGTATACTACTCAGCCGTATAAGTTTAGAAGAAATAATGACACATACAGGCAAGTATGCTTGATTGTCTAACTTACTGATGTGCCCTTTTTTTTCCCAAAGGATGGGATCACCCTTATCAGTGCGCACACACTCACGTTTAATGCACTCCTATATTTAGACGTTTTCTTAAATTAGTTTCACTTTTGCTACAAATTAACACCTAAAACATCTCTTACCAAAACACCTCCCTCCGACCCCCCCCCCCTCCCAAAAAAAAAACACAAAGAAAAAACCCATCCCCAAACAAATACAACTTTTTTTTGGGTGATTACCCCCCCCCCCAACAGAATAGAGCTCTCTTTCCTTCACATTTTCAAGGGGGTTCACTTGTAATTTGTAAAGTGGCTGATTCTAAAGTAGGTCGAGCACAATGTAATTCACTCCAAGCAACAGCCTCTACCACCAAGAAATTTAAATCTCGATAGGATGGGAGATCAGGGTTCAATCCTTGCTTCCGACCTTGCCACTTAATTGTGGCTTCCTCTAACAAGATTTTCCCATTGGCTTCCCCTCATCTTAGATTATGCTAAAATAGATTATACAAATATTATTATTGCGACAAAAAAAAAAGCAATGTAATTCACTCCATCCAAAAAATAATAACAAAAATCAGCGGGGAAAGCAAACACGAAACTGAACCCGTTGCTCCTAATGAAGCATGCAAACAATCTCAAATACCAAAATATGCACCTACATTACCATGTGATTTCTCCTATCATAATACCATCAAGTTTACCTGTATTACCATGTGATTCTCCTCTTCTATTCAAAAGCATAGCTAACCCCTCAGGAGTGACCACATGAAGGTTCCAATATGCAATCCAATCAATACTCTCAGCACTATCGAGGGGACTATCAGGTCAAGAAAGGACTAGAAATTTGTGCATCAAAGGAGAAACAAAGGAACAAGGTGATGAATCGTTTTTCCTAACATCACCACAGCTCAAGAGTTACCAACAACGTGGTAAGGAGGGAGAAAATTCTCCTAGTAACATCACACTTCTTAAGCTTGAGTAGAAGGAAAATCTATAGATCGTTTAGACACTTAACAGATTTCAGCCAACAAGGAAATAAAAGATCATATAAAGTAACATCAACAACAAAATAGAAGATGTGGTAGCAAGATGACACCATGCTTTGGAATCAAACTATTCTATAATACAACAAACACTAGAACGCAACTTCTAGTGTCGAAGGCTGAAGACTCAGAAACTAGAGGTCCTGACAGCTTCTTGAATCTAATCCTTTCCCTACTTGAGTAAAAAAAAAAAAAGTAATCAAAGCAATAAATTCAAGCCTTCCCAAGAGAATAATTCCATTACCAATCAAGGCGTACTGAATTTCAAGTATAAAGTGGCCAATCAGTCCACGCCCCAGAAACATGACCATTCTCACACACATAAGCTCGAACAACTGGCTCGCCGTCGTCGTGATAGCCAAAATACCTCCGCAAACAAAACGCAGAATGCAGATCCCACGTCTGTTTACAAGAGCAGAAAGCGCAATGCAGCTCAATCTTGCTCCTGTGGCCATCATTTATCGTCCTCCAAACCCTTGACTGCTTGAAGTTCTTGAAAATCCCTCGAAAAAGCATATAGTTACGCTTCTCTTCGATGTGGACACAACCGGGCCAATCACAAATATACAAGCAATCCCCTTTGAATCGACTTGCAAGCAATTTATTCCCCTGCTCGCGGCTCAAGTTCCAGACCCCCTGAGCCAAATGAGACATAAGAGATCTACAGATTTTCCTCCTCTTACGACCACGAAAGTCACACGAAGGTTTCACCACCCCTCTCTCGGGCTCCACAGGCAGTTCGGGCCGTTCTTCGGAGGATTCAGAAGCATCATAAACAGTATCAAACAGAAGATCATCAAACAAAGACCAAGAACAATCCGGCCCAGAAGCAGTTACATCGGAATTAACATCCCTGTTGCTCGAGCAGGGAGCAGCTGATCGGAAGATCGCAGAGACCTGGTAATTCTCGTCTGGCCCAAGCTCACGTTCGAGCCCGAAATCAGAATTTTCCAAGAGGACGCCAGCTTGGAGGAGACCCGGGCAGCAGACTGCTAGCTTGTAAAGAGAAGCCCAGCCGCCAGGAGGGACGGCGGAGGGGGAAGCAGAGGTGGACAGAAGATCGTTGACAACGGAGGGGATGGTCTGAGAGCACTTAGATTTACAGCACACGTTTCGGATCAGAGACGAGAATTTAGTGGAGACGCAGGCGAGGCGGGCCCAGTTCCGAGGATCGTCTTCAAGTTTGAAGAATATGTTGAGAACAACGTCATCTGAGAGCCTCGAGAAGCCGCTTTCAGACATGGTGTACGGTTCACCAACAAATGGATAACAGTAGCTCAGCCGGGGTTCTCCGATTCCGATTCTGGGAGAAAAGAAAATCAGGCAGGAGTTGGATATGGAATTGGGAAGAGGCGAAAGGGTGTCTTCTAGTGTTTATGAAGAGGTTCCAATGCGATGGACTGCTGAGCCAACAGACGAGATTACGTATCCCATGTGTGGACACCAGAAGAGAGAGAGAGATAGGACGGATTGTTGGTCTTTTTACCCTCTTTTATCTTTATATTGGATGGGGGTGGCGGAGAGAGATGGGCAGAAGCCGAGGGAAAGAGAGGTGGTGGTGGTGGTGGCGGTGGTGGTGGGCGAATTTAATGAGTGAGTGGTTGAAACGTGAAAGGAGACGGGAGGCAGTCTCTGGATTCAAAGACCCTTCACTGACTTCAGTGGATAAAGCCAAGAAGGAAGCAGGCGCCGGCGGTGCACAAATTGTGCTGAGTCCCCAGCATACATTACCTCGTATCCTATCCTAATAAATACTAACTAGTGTAAATACCTGTGCTATGCACGTTGCTGACATTATTGAAAAAATGAAAATAAAATGGTGAATTAAAAAAGGTTAAAAAATTATACCAACATAATTAAAATATAATATCTGTCTAACAATAGTTTGAAATATGATAGAACGTGTATATTATTCAAAAATTACCTTTTTTCGGAAGATAGATCCTGAAAAAATAATAGAAATTTATATTAGAAAATGAATGATATATGAATAAAAATGCATGTAATTAAATATTGTTAAAATGAAATACTTACAAATATTATGCATTCGATTTGATAATCTTGCATGAAGGTGTGAACACTCTTTACACTAATCAACTTTTAATACGAAAGCCAAAATTGGTGATTTAATTAATTCTGTTGAATTTTGTGGAATGCGTACTACAAATGAAAATGCACGATCTTTGCATGAATTGATTCGTTGGTTGAACAACCTATCACCATTGTCCTGAGAATTAAGTACGTGCGAAATTTAAAATTAGTGTATTTTTTTCCATAGTTTATAAATAGCGTTATAAAAAATAAACATATATTAAGAAATTTTATCTTCCTTTGTAATTCTCTAAGATAAGAAGCATCACAACCAAATACGAATCGTGCATGTCTGTCCTGTAGATTAAGATGCATGTTACTATTGGAATCTTTGATTTGTATGTTAACATTGTACCTGTTTGACAAATAAAATGTTATATACAATACAGAAAAATTTGTTGAAATTAAAGGTACATAAAATTAATTATCTAACAACAGTGTCTACCACGTCATTACAATGCATACACACTGTTTTTGAAAAATGACATTCACGTAGTTATCCACAATTTTTGCATAATTCATAGAACATATTTTCTATGTTAATACTTTGAATGTAAGCAAGTATTCGAAAATATTTAACATAGTAAGAATGAAAAAAGGTATAGGTTATGATTATAAATTTAAAAAATTTGTGCAATAATTAAATTAAATAGAGTAAGTTTACTGTATGCATGATTGTATATTTGGATATCCATACTCTCTTTGAATTTGCTATCAACAATGCTTGTGATGTTATAAAATTACTTGACTTCAACCACATAACTAACTTTCGAGCACATGTATTATTTTCAAACCTACAATTTTTTGAAATACATATTGATAAGAGTATGAAACAACATTAAAAGTTTAATGTAGTGTTACTGATGGAACTCACCAACTGCACAGGTATCGAGCAAAATCTAAATTGTGATTGATATACAATTTGTTAGCTCCAATTGTACAAAGTGATGGTTCTGTATAGTATGGTTATAGTCACTAAAAAACTATTCAAATTATAAAGAGTATAAGTAAAAGCATTTGATTTACCTCTGAAATTTCGTACGCAAATACCACATGCTAGTAAAATATTATTTTTTGTAGCAGATTGATATTATAGGATTTGTAGTATATTCAATAACTTGATACTCAAATCACCGATGAAGCAAAATTTGCCTAAATAAGCTTTACAATGTCCTAACTCCTTGGAAAAAAAAAGTGCTAAATAGTCCTAATTGACATCGCAAGTTACCACAACGTGCCAGTGGCATCTAGGCCTAATTTTTTTTTTTTTTGTCAAAATCTAGTCCTAATTGGTTTTACTGTTTCTTGATCATGTTGTATGCTTCCGAATTAAAATTGTATTAAAATAGCATGTGAATGAGCATTTATCTTTAATTAAGGAGTAAAAAGGATTTAAAGTATAAATAACAAACTATACACGGTTTATAAAGTAGACTATGGGAAAGTTTTAAATTTTAAATTTAACTGGTGATAGGGTTGGTTATAACCCACTACTTTTTATGTATTAAAATAAATACAAAAATATAGACAAAAATCTATAACCCACTACTTGTTCCTTTCTTGGGATTTTTTTAGGGTTAAATATAGTAAACTCCTTAACTTTACATTTAACTGTACTTTACCCCCTCAACTTTATATTTAGTTGCACATTTGTGATTTTTTTGAAACGTAATTGTAATTTGCAAAGCTCATTTGTAGGGTTGGTTATAGGGTTAGTGTGGTGACAAATATTTCTTAATTATAAAAATATAACATTGTATTAAAATAGCATACGAATGAGCATTTGTCTTTAATTAAGGAGTAAAAATGATTTAAAGTATAAATAACAAACTATAAACGATTTATGAAGTAGATAGTGGGGATGTTTTAAATTTTAAATTTGATTAGTAATAGGATTGGTTATAACCCACTACTTTTTATGTATTAAAATAAATACAAAAATTTAAAAAAAAGAATGAGAAGTTTGGAAGTCATTGAGAGGGTGTTTGCTAAAAACCCATTCTGCAATACATATAGATATAGATTGCGATCTCAACTGTCAAGTGCGAACTCTGCTGTTTCTTTCCTTCGCCACATACATACGTATAAGGCCATAGTGGAACACAAACAATGGGCTGGGCTTTTTATTATTATAACTACACTATTTTAGCAAGTGGCAAATTGAAGCAGTTGCTGTCCAAATTGCTTCTTTTTTCTTTTTTTTTTGGCTTTGAATGATAACCACGTTTAAAAATATTTACTGCCAAATAACGGCCGTTCTAGCCGGTAATGCCGACAAATTTGGTTAGTTCAACTCCTGGAGAATGCGTCAACATTCTTCCTCCATATCTCTAACAGAAAAACTTGCTAATATAATTAAAGTATATCATTCTCTGAACACATCTTTTAAATAACTTTACATACGTTGCAACATAAAAAGTAATGCAGTAAATAACAATTCTATAACTCATCCTTTTCTTTGATTCATTAATGATACAGTGTGTAGACTGCACATCTGGTAGCTCGAGAAGATAACCAATCATTTCATGCCACTTGCAAAAAGACAACCCTGCCTGAAGCGGGCGGCTTTCCTTATCTGGATGGTGCGGCCCAATCTGCGTTAACGCAGGACGTTTCCTCTCCATTGAAGAAGGGAATTGTCGATGCTCAAACTAACATCCGCCACACATTTTGAGGAGGACGCCAATTCCTAGGTTGCTTTGGGCATTCCTTGTCGCTGTGGCACATGCACATTCTGCGCTGTTGACAAGAAGACCTTTCACTGTGCAGATGATATTCTGATCAAATAAAAAGTTCAAACAAAATTTGCCCATCCTATAGGCAAATCAACGTGACTACTGATTACCTTGAATACTTCCCAGCAGGCACCCAGTGACAGGAAAAAAAAAAAATACTATACCAACACTAACATATTTTGACATCCTACATCTAGCCTATTAAAAGGAACGACCCATTGCTTTGCTGCAAATCAACAAATGACCTGCACGTACGAGGAGTACCAGTAACGGTGGCTGGCTGCGTGCATAGGCTATGGAGGGAGTCAAATTGACTAACCAAACTAGAAGATTGGTTATTCTAGGTTGGTGCTACTGCTAAAGAATAATAATCTCGTGTAATCAGAATTATCTGGCCCAATATAGACAGCAATTAAAGGAACCACTCGGAGAATCTGTAGCGCCACAAGGAAATGTTATAGTTAATCGAGGACCAAGCCATCTGCAGGCCCTCCACGAAATATTAATTCATGATTACATCTGGACAAAATGCCAAATTCAACATTCCACCATTCTCGCGATCAAATGTCCCGCAACATGCCCATACAAGAAAACACAAAATAAAATGGTTCCTCATACATCAATAACTCTGTTAACCACGATTGACAACCAACTGCAGATCCTAATACGCATCTAATCCAGCAGAGAGCACCTTATCTGCAGATCTAGGGCGCAGCAGAAACCAGCGAATACCATAGCTCACCTGTTGAACACTTCAAACAGTCAGAAACATCAAGAAGAAAGAAAAAGGCCACAGATTATCAATTCTTTAAACAGTGTGGTTCCAAACAAGAACTACCTTGATGGACTTTTGCTCCTACTACGAGTACGGCTCCTACTCCTGCTTTCACTCTTACTTGGGCTGCCCCTTTTTGGGCTTTTGTTAGCACGTTTCTGGCGCTAAAGTCATCCAACAAAATGAAACAGCAACACAACACAAATATTCAAATTACAAGGAAATCCACATTCTACAGGACCATAAAGGTAAATAAAAGGCTCAACAACGAAAACATGAATCCAAGTTTCAAAAGTTATTTGCACAGAAGATCTACTCACAGATGGTGAGGGGGATCTGGATCTTGATGGAGATCTGCAAAAGTTCCAGAAACAACCCAATTTAATATCCACATGTTCCTCTTAACAACTCTGATCCAAGAGCCTTGTATGCCATTCCACGTCAGAGTTTACCACAATCAAAATAGAAAAGAGGATATTCACAAACATTTAGCAGTACACAAGGGAAAAGCATCATATTCAACCTAAATAAATGGCCCAATTAAGTTAGGATAAGAACCTTCAAAAAGCCAACAAAGCTCCTTAAAAACACGAATAACCAGAATCATACTATGGAAGTCAGAGAGTATGCTTTAATTAGCACGGAAGCTTTGGAGACAGTTAAAACGTTTCTACCACACATAGATGGCGGTCCCAAAATTCATATGCCAATTAGTTCATAGTCCCGCTTCACCATCAAAATCCATGATCTTCTTGTTCCCATATCTAGCACCGATGGACATTTACGATGCTTATTAGAACAGTCACCATGAAGGATTCCAAAGCTGCCATCTAAAAGACATCATACCTCCACAACCAAAAGAGTTGTAGGCAACTGAACCATATCCCATCAAGATCATATTATGCAATCCCCAGATCGCTGCATATATCCATATCTAGAAAAACAGAGAAGGTGATTCCATGTCTGAAAAATAAAGTAAACAATTGAAGACACTCCTACAAGGCGTCCTTTAAAAAAAAAAAAAGACTAAACTCCTATGAAAACATAAGTGTAGGTGACAGAAACAGAAAAAGAGGGTGAAGAAAGGGACGAGCATCATGGCAGTAAACTGTTGAATGATCACCAAGGAAAAGCAGGCTTGCCGGAATGAAAGAACCCAAAGGGCGGGTGCCTTAACTCTTACATAAAAAATGGCGGTAGCAAAGAAGATATTCCTCGAATCAATAATCAGACGTTGCAGATTGACACAGATATATCAGTCTTGACTAGGCAATTTAAAATTAATGGACTACTGAGTCAGAGTGCAAACAGAATAAGAATCTTTTGGCCATGTCCATAGCAATTAAGTTCAGAAATTCCACAAAATAAAGAAACTAGCCTGTAAAAGAAAACACCTCAATGACTATACCACCTTCTACGAGTATATTATGCCAGTGTAAGATACCAGTATAACATACCCAACTGTTTATGAGGAATAAATAGCTCGGTAGAAGACTTTAATTCTCCAACTCAAAGTGGCTCACCATTTGATGTCCAGAACCAGGTCACATAATGAAAAAGAATGTCGGCCTTGAAGAATCATTTGTTATGATAAATCATGCCAATGAAATGCATAAAGGCAAAATCCAGCACAACTGTCAAATCACAAACAGACGAATGCTAAAGGAGAGAACCCAACCCATATATTCAAGGGAGCCTCTTGAAGAATGCCAACCATTAACAAGGCAACACCCAAGCAATTAAATTATGGAAACCAAAAAGAACAAGAAGATAATAGGTATCAAGCATCAACAAAATAAGAACACCAGAAGTATAATTCAGCAAGTCAGAAAAATTGTCAATTGCACAAATACCAGAACCAACGCTTTTTTAATAAGGTCGTAGTCGGTCCAAGCCAGACATTTCTCCATTATAATACCATGCATGTGCATGAATATATAGCCTGTTATAAAGGCAGAACAGAAGATATATTTCTGAAAGGCTGATTAAAATTCATCTTTCATGCAACAAATTCACCAAAACTAGATGATGTCCACAGCACTCTTTTGGTTCTTTCTTTGCTAGCATTTTATCATAATATTGAATCACAAGGAAAACTAATATCAGTTAATATGAGATGAAAGAAGTAGTCCTTATTCACAATACACTATAACCTTGAGCATACATTCAAAGTAAGAAAAACCACCAAATGATCCTTACCTTGAAAGAGATTTTGCTCTAGACTTAGAGGGAGACCGTGAAGATGCAGACCTCGAGCGGGATCTTGAACGGCCAGAAGATTTAGCTTTAGGAGACTTGCTGCATGGGGATTGAACAAGTTCACACACATATAAGGAAACTACATGATGCTACAAAAACTACATGCTGACCAAAAAACAGCAAGTATCCAACCTCATGCTCCTACTCCGACTGTTACTCGGGCTGCGGCTACCACTCTTTCCTCTCGAGTAAGAACGGCTGCGGCTGCGGCTCCTAGAGCGGCTAGAATCATATTCCTTCACCTGCATGAGGATGAAATAGCCAGGATGTATATACAGCTACGTGACAATAGTATGAAAGGTTAAAACAATCTTTGCATCCTACACGTATTGTTGCACGAGAAAAGGAATTCCGGAATTCAGACTCATCAAGCTTCCTGATCTGCATATATTAGAAACGTGTGCATTACACAGAGATCAGGCATTCTCCAGTAGCTTCACATAGAATGGAAGGCAACAAACAAAGGCAATCTACAGCTTTAAGCATTTTATGTAAAAATAACTCACAGAATATTTCATATCATCATAATTTGTATAATCCACAATTCCTGTAGTGCCTGCAAGTTTCATACAGTTAAAACGAAAGACCACATATATATCCACCATAATAACAGCCAAAACTACTCAACCAGATAATCCCCTTCACACCCTTTCGAGGGCCTCTTCAATTATATGAACATGAAATGATGTTACAGCCCAAAAGCTTGGGTAAAAGTGGAAAACTTATGCCCATATCACCAGAAAAAGAAAACTCTGAGGATTAGTCCCTTGTATGCTTACCACTCCCTTCCCGGAAAACTTGGGAGAAACAGACATCCCCAGCTCGACGCATGTGATCCTAGAAATAGAAGCATGAGCAAAAATTTCGGAATGAGAAACATGGTGGATTCTAAATACTACATTTGATGATTCTAGTCTGTAAGAAACTTAAATGTCTACAAAGAGACTTAGGATAAAGACTTGTTTGCAATACTATGAATATTCTAGGTATCCAAAAGGATAAAACTAAAGGATTCCACTGCTCACCTTAAGATCCTGCCAGGAAGCAGAAGGCGGCAATCCAGTGACTAGCACTGATGTGAAAAAGAAGAGTAAGGCAATTAGCAATAACACCAAAATATATAGATGTTATATAGAGAATTATCCATCAAAGACATGCCTCTGTAGTCAGATCGCCTGGAAACTCCACCACGGGGCCCTCGGCCACTGCTGTGGTTACTATAACGATCAGTTGATGATGAATGACCACGCCCCCCATGCGCCAGTTCCACCTGTATTAATCAGAATAAGTGTATTTTAAACATCACATCTGGTATAGGAACATATTTTGCATAATACAAATTGCAGATGCAAAATGCAAAACAAACCCGCAAACGATGTCCATCAAAATCATAACCATCACGACCACGGATAGCATCCTCTGCATCACGGGCCTCCTCGAACTGTATTAAAAGATGATTATTAACAAAAACTTGCAGAGTATTGAATACAGTGCATGCCAAGCAGCTATAAACTCACCTCCACAAAAGCATAACCTGGAGGCCTAGGCGGAACTTTCAAATCAATATGCGCTATTCGTCCATACTGCAGTTGAAACCAAACAAATGAGACCAATTATGACAGGTAGCTCAATTAAGATTAACTAAAATTAAAAAAAAGAAAGAAGAGGTCTTTTCCTCTTTGGGACGGGACTAAAATCTCTTCAACTATATGGCATGTATTTTAAGACACGTATGTTCGTTTTGGCTTCCATAATAATAAATCAGCTCCTTAATAAGAATTCTCCAAGTCAGATTCTGATGCTTAGAAATCTAGGTTCACCTCTTATCTCTGTAGTTCTCAACTTCTACTCTTATTGATTTGCCACGAACCATTATGATCTTGCTTAACATCATTGTGACCTTAAGTTTCATGAATGTCCACTTGCAACCGCATTTAAAAGCTCCATTTAACAGGATAAGACAATTCAACAACACTGGCCTAGCGAAGGAAAAGTGACTTCTTTCCACAAAAAAAAAGGCTTTATGTTACTCTCTTACAAATGAAGGCCGGACACCTGCACCCAGTTTTTTTCCCCCAATGAGGCATATATGATAAAGCAATGGTGAAGTTCACCTCATAGTAACATTCTCTTCACTAGTACCTCCTTAGACACAGCAACCAGCTTTAACTCTAATAAATGAGAGTATAAGAACTTTAAGAAGCAGCACAAGAACAAATAAAATACCTTGTAAAACAAATCTTCCACTTCACGCTCGCGAATGTCACCAGGAAGGTTACCAACGTAAAGAGTTCTACTTGAGCGACTCATTCTTCCTAACACATCCAAAACTTAAAAACTCAAAAAAAAAAAGCAACCAACTTTGAAATCAACTACATCAAGTATATGTTTGGTTGACTATCAGCATTGAAACTGAATTATAAATGAAATTATATGCCATAGAAATGCTACTTAATGTCAACAGCATGGAATTTCATTTCAATCCCAATAGAGAACCAAACAAATGCTAAGAAGCAAAAAAACATTTGTAAACCTGAAGCAGGTCTTGCTTTTTATCGGGCAATGGTGATTAATGAAATTAACTGCGGGTCCAAAAGAAAAAAGGGCAAAAAACGCAGAGGCAAATTACAGCAATTAAACAGATCAAACAATCAGTTAAAGCCCTCGGTCACATGCATTTAACAAATTAAAAACGTAAAAAGAAAATTATAAATTTCTCTAGTCAATTTATGAATGAAATTATAAATATCTGAGGTGTTTGACCATACCAAAGCGAATTAAGTGATCTCAGGCATTACGGAAGTTAAAGCAATACTAGGTATTCGTACAAGATAGCAAGGCACAGGTACAAACAACAGGACAACCAGAGACAAAAGAAAATGCGATAGCGCCAAAAAATAAAAGGGAAAAAGATCTTTTGGTTATAAGAACCCAATAAACCGGAATAACTAATACTATTGAAGAAGCTAAAAAGCTCGTAACACCAATTCTTAGATCAGAGCAACATACTTGCAGAGGATGGAAGGTGGCGCAGAGGACAACGAGATTCGCGACTGATGAGAAAACTAGGGATTAGGGTTTGGGGGTTCTGCGAGAGAGGCAAGAGTCAAAAGGAAGCCCGGTACAATAAGGAGACGTACGGTGTAGTTTCGTTGCACGTGTCAAAAAAAAACATTTTATTTTAAAGACTCCAAACAGGTTCTTCATCTATACCTCCATTTTGCACAAGCATTTTATCTATAAAAAAAAAAAAAAGTAAAAACTCATTATGCTACGCAGCCAGCCCATGAGCTTACACCAAATAAATATATATGAGATAATTTCAGATACCTGCCTAAGGTTTCAAGCTAGTATTTCACCAGCCTCCTTTCAAATTTCAAAAATTACATTAATCTCCCTTAAAATTAATTATCTTGTAATATTTAGATCCAATCAATAATTAAAAAGTGATATTAGGAAAGAAAAATAATTATGATTCCATCATTGTCCCTCTTCTACTACATTATTTAATTAATTTAATATCAAGCTACATGTTAAAGAAAAACACTAAAATCGCTATTTATTATTAGGGATTAAATCATATATAGCATAAAAAAATATATCATTCTATATATTTTGCTTAACGTAAGATCCAAATTGTTGTTTCCAATTATAAATTCATTATCGAACAAGATCAATAACAAATAATTATAAAAATTTGAAAGCAAAATACTCCAAAGAGCGAACTTTAATATCATAAAAATCTCTAACAACTAATTTTAATATGTTTATAAGAATATTTCAAAAAGATTCGTGAACACATATGTAATTGTAAAGAATAATTAAATATGACTTTGAATACCTTATATATTATTATGGACTGGTGTGTACATCTTGTATTTTCCTTGAAAAAGTTAATTATACACAAAATTGGTATTATTTATTTTTCTAAAATAAAATAGCATAATTAATTTTATTACAAGCCATGTATTATTTTTAAAAAATATAATTAGATTATTTTAAAATTAAAAGTTCAAGTTGAAGTTTGAATTCTACTTGTTTAGTTTAACAAGTCAAAATTAAGTATGAACTCAAATATCTATACGAGTTAACAAATCAAATTTCAGCTACATTTTAATGCTAGATCGAACTCAAACTATTTGTATAATATACAAAAAAGGCTCAATAGCAAGTATTTGACTCTATTTAATCACTGAGATTTGGTTTAGTGGCCACTAAAAGGGAATTAAATCAGATTGGGAGTTCGAACCCCACCCATAGTAAAAAAATTCAAAAGAGGTACCAGAGCACTTCTTTGGTTTATTCAGATTCTTATATATATTAGTTTCTTTTACACAAGCTTTTTTTAGACTTATTGTAAATTAGAATAGATTAGGTTATAGAAATGTTATATATATAAAAAAAAAATATTCAACTCATTGGGCTTGCGAGCTAAGTTGGATTACAGGTCTGTAATACGGTAAGAATGGTCTTGATGAAAAAAAAAATAAAGATACCAAGGACACAGAAAATCTAGTGGCAAGCTACCCACACTTCCCGCAGCCCAACAGCCCACACTCAGATTATAAGCAGAGAAAAGAGAGGGAGTACATAACCGGGCCCACGTCCTGGTCCCGGGGATCACTGTAAACCAAGAAACTGTGTCAAGCGTCCGCGCGTTCCCTCTGTATAAAATAGCACCGTTGGATAAGGCAAGTCGCAAATAGTCAAGTACAAATCACTCTAATCGGAGGGCTATCTACGCGAGTTTCCGAAGTGGTAATGGACCTTAGCGCGTGAAGTTTCGAGTCACCTTCTTTTTCTTTTTGACTCTTGAGTCTTGAGGAAATGGTGCCGTAGAGCGGGGCCCCCATGCCCCCGGGGGGGGGGGGGCCTTTTACACGTCATCCGGTGTTCTCTCTCAAGACTGGGATCTCTGCCTGGTCACTTGGTATGCTGTCAGTCGTAGAAAGTAGTCCTATACTACTTCATAGCTAAGAAAAGGCCCGGCGCGACGGAGGGTTTGGTCATTGCGTGCGAGTGCGAAGGCATGGCATCCTCCCCCACTTCATCATCTTGCTCTTCATACTCGTCGCCATTTGCATCGTCGTCGTCATCTTCGTCGAATTTTGCTTCTCTTTCGATATCGGCAATGAGGGACAAAATTATCGAGAAAATTCAGGAAAACCGCGTCACTCTGATCGTCGGCGAACCTGGTTGCGGTAGAGATTTTATCGACCTCTCTCTCTCTCTCTTTTGTTTTCTAATTCTTCCCTCTCCTTTGTTCGGTTTTTATTTTTGTTCTCGTTCTTCCGTCGGCTGGCTTTACCGTTTCGGGATGTTCGAGGCGTTAAATTTCATATATTTGAAGCTTCCGGAAACTGAACGGGAGGCACACTAAAGAAGCAATTGAGTTACATTCATATTTTGTACATAATCTTTATGTTTTATTTTTTTAAAACTGCTTGCATGCGGGCCTGCGCGTGTTAGTCTTGGCATTAAAGAAGAAATTTAAACTTAATATACCTCTACTGTCGCAGCACAGTGCTGAGTTTCTGCTGGATTCATGAATTCGGTCAACATTAAAGAAGGTTAATGCGTTGTTAGCTTTTTTCCAACATAAGCCTATGTAGGTGGAATGGGTACAGAAGAGCGCACGATCATCGGTGGCAAAAAAATTAAAAATTAAAAATCAAGGAATTTGTGGTAGAAAAACACAACGTAACATGATATATTTACCTCAAAGACATACAATGCGTGGTAGTGTTGACTTGGTCCAACAGTCCTCTGGTGGCAGGCAGCTATATTTTTCCATGTTGGTGCTCAATCTCAAAGATGCAGGTTGTAATGTTTTCCAATTCTATGACTTCGCATTTTATGCAGGATGAAGAAAATTGTTTAAGAAACCATGATTTACATCTACTTCAGATACTTCATTTTGCTTTGGTAACCAAATTGTGGTATATATTAAATCAGAAGAAAATCTTGCTTCAAAGTTCTGATTTAAATGAATATAGGTCAGAAGAACAGCTTTTATGGAATAATTCTGGCACTTATTTAGAAGTACACTCGATTATTATTATCTTATTTATCTCCTTTTTTATGATGTTGGTCTATAGTTCATTTAAAGGTTCTGAAAACATGTTGCTTATGTTTTCGCACGAGTGATCCCATGACATTTTTTACGTAAGTTCTGCAAGTTGCTTTTTGATGCATCATCATATTACTGTTATGATCGTCTCCTACATGGATTAAAAAATTGTCTGCATTTATTTCATTTTTTTTGGCTTTGTCTTTGATATATTTTGAGCCTACAAATAGTAATGTAGGAAAATCAAAGAGCATAATGCTGATGTTTATGTCAATGCATGTGGTTTTTCACCTCTCATAAATGTATCTGATATTTGTTTTATACATTGCTTTTGGTAAAAAGGGAAGAGTTCACAAGTTCCCCAGTTCTTACTGGAAGAAAACATTGAGCCCATTCTCTGTACACAACCAAGAAGATTTGCCGTTGTTGCAGTTGCCAGCATGGTTGCAAAGGCTCGGAAATGCGAAGTTGGTGGAGAGATTGGATATCATATAGGTCATTCAAAGGTTTTCTCAGCAAGGTACGGCATTTAACCTCACCGGTTTTTTTTTTTTTGTAGTTGCTTAAGCCTTCTAAGCCTTCTAAATAGTTTGTAGTCAATATATCCATAGATCTTAATATGCTGTTGTTCAGGCTGTATATTGCCTGTCCTTTGCTGATAATCTTTTTCTTATGCCTACCCTTGGCTGGTACCTCCTGCTTTATACAGGATTCTCCTTTACAAGTTCGCTGCTAGAAGTCCTTCGAGCCAATTAACATCCCTTTTAACTGAATTTCTAGAAGAAAGAGAACAAACTTAAAGTGGGAAAAAAAAACTATATGATAAGACAACAAATGCTTTGCTATCCTACTTTACTGGAAAGTCTCACAATGAAGCGTTACTTTATAGAAAAAAGAAAAAGAAAAACACCTCCTTAATAACATTGAGTAGAAGAAATGACCATGGCATGCGTACAATGAAGACAACTACCGAGCCTGCATGTTCTTTTCAGTGGAAAATTATTGATATCAGGCCCTTGCTTTATTCAGGATGCAAAGTCAGAAACAAATATGCATGCATGACCCAGAAAAGAGTTGGTAAAGTAACTTGCCATTTGTTCCTGTTATGGGGGTACAACTTTGTTTTAGCACTCATGCACCTGAGTGCAAAAAATCCTCGATCTTTCATAGTTGTTTCATGTACTGTTAGTGTAGCGGCATGATGAAATAGAGAGCCTACGTGCAGGATAGTGGAAGTCAACTGAAGTCATTATATAGTATGTTGGACAACTTGGGTGGTTGCTAGCAAGATCACATAAGCTACTTAAAAATAAGTTTGATTGTGTCAATGGCTGTTTTAATTGCTTGAGTTTGATCGAAACAGGTTTATAATCCATACGCCTAGCAAAAAAATGAGCTCTTCCAGAGAGATCTAATTCTTCTGTAAATGCTTCGAGCTCGTGTTTATGGCTTTCAAGTTGTATATGGTGTTAATAGTTATCTGTTTAAATGTGTGGGACTTTCTTTCAACTTAAGTATGTTTTGCAGGAATCCAATTGTGGTGTTATAACATTTAGGGTGCGTTTGTTTAGACTGAAAAATTTTCCAGAAAATGTTTTCCACAATTTGTGGTGTTTGGTTGCCTTAGAACTGGTGAAAATATTTTATGCAAGAAATAATTTTCCCCATTTCAATGTAGGAAACTTCCTTAAATGAGGAACTGTAGTTGTTTTCAAAAAGAACACATCCATTGACGAAGTTGAAACTCCTGTCATTTGTTGGCAGAAGAACACTCCATCCTAAAGAAAATATTTTACATCTAGCCAAACAGACCATAAGTGAAAGTATGGCAGCAAAAGTTGTGATTAATGACGTTAGTCGAATTTCAGTCCCTGTTCAGTTTGACTTGATTTCAGCTGGGGACATGGACCTTGAATGGTTCACCATATAAAGAAACTATGATCATCTTATATTTGCGGTTACTTCTTGGTTTTTCTTCCTTTTTTGGTATACTTCATTACCTGCATTATTTCTTAATGCTCAGTGCTGAGTTATCATCTCTAAATTCTGTCACAGGTCAAAAATTATCTTCAAAACTGCTGGAGTTTTGTTGGATGAAATGCGAGAGAAGG